ATCATGTGCGCACGTGAGAGATGATACCTATTGTAGAAATGTAGTGATATACAGCGTGTTGTTATAACCGCGACAATAAATGTACACACATATTATAGAGGATAACTTTTTAAAATTGTATTAAACATTTACATTCTTTAAACGTCAATATTTACTGAGTTATTAAACTTTCCAAAACAAATAATTTTAGAACAACCTTACGTATAAAACTGTAATGTAAAGTTCATTTGTATATTGAGTTGAATGAATTTAAAAGAGACAAAACATACTGTTAGAAGGAGAAGCTTGTAATGCGACGCTATGGCAACGAATGAAAAATTTCTGAATGTATGAAGCAGTCAGTTGTAGTTTTATAGATGTTACAAATTTTGTTTCTTTTTTACTTAATTAGTTTGTTTGAAATATTTTTTTTTAATTAATTTTTTTTTTAAATAATTAATTTTTTAACGTTTATATTTTTTTTTGTTAAGGTTATTGGTAAGTATCGTTAGACGTGTGTTCATTTATTGCGCGGTTGTAACGACACGCTGTATTTTGTAAAGAGGCAGATAATATATCGTTGTGATAGAAAAGTCGAGTTATTTAGTTGTTAAATATAAATCGCATGCTCTATTGGTTCTTCGGCCATTGTGTCTTAGCTTATGAATTTTTTTCGGAAATAAGTCATAAAGTGCGTTGGTCGGGGTTTTGCTTTTCTAGCAAAACTATGTATAATAATATTTTGGACACATTTTTACACCACGTTCTCTAGTCCCAAACTAAGCAACGCTTGTACTATGGGTACTAGAGAACTGATAAACATACTTTTCTTTTGTAAACAATTATATATTATACATACATATATATACACCCAGAGACTAGAAAAACGCTATGTGTTGAACATAATATTTTTCCAGTAGCGGGGATCGAAGCCACAACCTCTGGCGCAGGAGGCAGGTACACTACCCACTACGCCATTCGGGTCGTCAAACAGAAACTTAATATCCTTAATACCCAAATAAAATAATTCTTGAACGTTGTAGACAAGTCTTCGAAATGACGTACTGATTCTGTCAACTGGCTTTACTTACCAGTTCAAAAAACACCAGGTTTGGTCACCCGTAACGTTAATATTATTCCAAATACGGTAGGAATTTGCTGGCAACTGTTTTTTTTGTCAATCATCATCACCAGCTGACCTTCACGTTCATCGTCATGGAGATGGTCGCACCGAAAGAAGTATTACTTCAAAAAATGATATTATTTTTTTTTATGGAGAAAAGGGGCAAACGAGTAGGCAGCTCACTTGATGGTAAGTGATTACCGCCGCCCACGGACACCTGCAACACCCGAGGGCTACAAATGCGTTTCCGGCCTTTTAGGAAAAAGTATGCTCTCTTCTTGAAGGTTTCCAGGTCGTAACGGTTCCGAAAGACCGCCGGCGGCGGCTGGTTCCACAGAGCGGTTGTGCGAGGCACGGAATGTCTTGAAAATAGCGCTTTTATGGAACGCTGGACATCAAGGTGGTCTGGATGAAATTCTTAGTTTAAAATGAGAGATTGCGTCGAACGCAATAAAAACCGGCCAAGTGCATGACGAACTCGTGCACAGAGAATTCCGTACCACCACTAGATAGTATAAAACAAAGTCGTCCCGCTGACTCTGTCCCAATGTGTGCATCTTTAAAAGTACGCAATGGATTTTGATGCTTTTTTTTACTAGATAGAATGATTCAGGAGAAAGATTTATATGTACTTATAATACATAGCATCCGTGCGAAGCTTGTCTGTTGTACGGGAGTCCCGCTTAAATATTTTTTTATTTTTAGTATTTATTGTTGTAACAAAAAACAACAGAAATACACCATTTCTGGAAAATTTCAACTGCCTAACTATCACGGTTCATGAGATACATCCTGTTGACAGACGGACAGGTAGACAGACAGCGGAATCTTATTAATAGGGTCCCATTTTACCCTTTGGGTATGTAACCGTAAAAATCAAGTTAATTAAAACAATATGTAATAACGCAACATACTTTTTCAGATTTTCTAAAGCTCATAAATATGCATAGTTAAAAACTACTTAGGTTCGTAGACCGATGAGTGTTAATTATAATTTGGTCGCACCTTATTCCGTATAAATTATAATTGCAAGGAAAGCTAGTTTTTGATTGAGTCGTTATCATTATGTATTATATATTATGTGTTTGATCTTCCTTATCGAGCGAACACATAATTAGTGTTGGCAAATTTTCTGTACATCGTAAGTACATAAACAATAAATAGACGAGGTGACACAATTTCGGCTACTATCAATTTTTATCTATTACAAAGTAATTCGTGATAATCAGATTATTTATTTATTGTTTTCTATAGAACTATGACATAATGGCGCGTGACATATTGTAGAATTTTATGAGTAGTGATTCAATATTTTGAAGCTACAAATAATACCGATGACTGGTGACTCTCAATGGAGGAATTAACATTAACTAGCTCAATACATTAAAACGAATATAATGATTTTATTTCAAAGTAATTCGGTACAATTATAAAATAATTCGATGTGGGAATTTGTGATTATTATATTGTAAGATAATGCAGAAAACAGTAATTAGTAAGTTTCAGACAGTCTAATTGTGAAACACTTGAACAAAGTCACTGTCTTCAAATTACAATATTAAGTAGGTAGTTAATTTGCATAACAAAATTTTTCTTACTTATCTTAATATAAATTGTTAGTAACTGGAGGACCGATTTTTTTTAGGTAAATCATTTATTTTGGAAATAAAAAAAATAAAAAAAGAAAGAAAATAATCTGGTATAGAAAAAAAATAAGTATGTAAATTATTAAAACATGTAGAAAAAGTACGAAAAGATTGTCGCCGCTGTGGGGATCGAACCCACGTCTTCGGCATTCGCGGCCTGACGCTCTAGTATATATATATATATATATATATATATATATATATATATATATATATACAAGAACTGCTCGTTTAAGGAATAAGATTATGTATTTATTTTAGTCTTTGAATAAAGAAGCGTTTCATTTATGTGTGTGCTATTTTTAAATTAAAGATTTAAGTAGGTGTGTGTATTTTTACTGTGGTAGTAATCACTTAACATCAAGTGAATCGCCAACTCGCTTGCCATCTTCGCACATAATAAAGATGTCCATGTGCATAGGTCTTAAAACAGGGTCACTCCTTTATCTTTCTTCGCCACAAGAAAGCCCCGGCGATAATTGTGTTCCCAAGAAAAAATATTGTCTTACTAATTTAAATTGTTTATAGTGCTAATCTTTGCACTTAAGATTGAACATTAAAATATGTAGAAAAAGTGCGAAAAGATTGTCGCCGCTGTGGGAATCGAACCCACGTCTTCGGCATTCGCGGCCTGACGCTCTAGCCACTGAGCTAAACGGCTGATTACCACACCGACGAAAATCTTAACGCATTCTTCCACATAGTGTTCTTAGCATTTGAAGCAATGCTTGGCGCCATCTATTGTTATATCTTTTCCAGCATACAAACAACTTCGAATATCCTTTTACAACGATAATTCGAACGAGAGATGTCGCTATTGCTATTTTAGAAATTTAAATTGTTTATAGTGCTAATCTTTGCACTTAAGATTGAACATTAAAATATGTAGAAAAAGTGCGAAAAGATTGTCGCCGCTGTGGGAATCGAACCCACGTCTTCGGCATTGGCGGCCTGACGCTCTAGCCACTGAGCTAAACGGCTGATTACCACACCGACGAAAATGTATGCGAAAATGTATGTATGAAATGCCGAAGACGTGGGTTCGATTCCCACAGCGGCGACAATCTTTTCGCACTTTTTCTACATATTTTAATTGTCTTACTAATTTTATAAACGCCATTCGATTTTCACTACACTATTTCTGTTTCGTTGATGATTCATCAACGTAATCCAATACATTTCATATCTTACCGTTACAATCTTGTGATAACTTATTCACTAAACCAACCCAAAGCAGATTATGGTATATATTTATGTGTTTTATAAAATTTGATTACAGAAGTATAATACGAAACAATTAAAGATTGCATAAAATCAACAGCAGTTCAACATACAATCAATCAAGACTTAAGTGCAAAATAACAAATGATTCGTTTGCTTGTGTTGATCATTAATATTAGTGATCAGTAATGTTATATAACTTTGATATTTTAATTTTAACCTTTTTATCAAACGTATTACAATTTAGGGTATATCTCAATGGGCAGATATAATCAGATGAATTAGATAAAGTACTGGCCAACTCCGGATTATTCAACATCGTGTTTAACAATGTAACGGCCTTAATTTTTTTCCGTCCGATATGTTTAAATAGCATTACAAATAACACAACAGCTATAATTATCATAGCTCCATACAGAGAATAAATTAATATTTTGATGGTAAATAAAACTTTCTATAATAGATTGACCAATGAAATCGTGTAGGTAAATTTAGTTATTCGTAGTAATATAACTTTGGCGAAAGGATTATAAGAGGATATCTAAGAAATCATAACACGGTATCCTATGTTTACATGTCAAATTTCAAGCTCACAGGGTAGTTTATTAGAGCAACTGCTCTTTCTCATGTACATAAATAATTTGCTTACAATGGTATTATTAAATGACAATAAAGCAAGTAATAGAGTTTTAATTATATGAAATAATTTTTAAATAATTTCTGAAGAAAACTAAATTCATTGATTTTTATTATTTTATTAAAGAAACACTAGGATATCTAACTTAAATATTGTGGTGAGGTGGGTTCAAATCCTCGCAGTGGGAAAAAAACTTTTTGTCCATTTTTTGACAAATTTTAAACTTCATCTTAAGTGCAGAGAATAAATAGCACTATTAAATTAACATTATTTAAATGCTATTTATTTATTTCATTAAATTTTTCATTTCATTTAGCACCCGAAGTAAAGCAACGTTCCGGCTAAGAAGAGGTATCTGTTTGAGGATCTTGACGTCTGTATTAAAGTCATCACAATGCACAGATCAAGAATTCCAAAATACTCTAAAGGTACTTAGTTAATATCTTGCATTAGCTTTTATTTTGCCTTCCGTTTAATTGTTTAAAGGGAAAACTCTGTGAAATAACGGTCCATACGATAAGTCAAATGTATCTGTAATCGATCAAGTTCGATCCACGTTTTGGATCTAACGGATGAAACTGATTTAAATAAAAAAAAAAACATAATTTTATTTCCAGTGAAAGCCAGTGTGACGGGATGGCTTTTCGCCACGACACTCGTCGCGGAAAAGCTCAGGGTGTCTATTTTGGGTGCTCTCATTTCTATCACGGTAGCTGAGGTCTGCGCCTACAAACTCCTAAAGCAGAATGTGAAGGCCGGCGAACTGCCGCCGTACATCACCGGTAATTATTAACAGATCCATTTTCCCCACTTTACTTCACTTTGACTGATGTTTTTGCTTTCAGAGCGCAGACTATTAAAGCTTCAGCGAATGCAGAACTCGTGAGTAGCCAGAGCGTATACAGCTCTACACGGTTGGTAGAGCTGCGCATATGCTGTCGAGGAGTTTGACCTACAGGCCATCGAGGTTCAGAATGAACCATGAATCCGATGTCCGGTGACTTTGTTAATCGTTGGCTGGGGCAGTGAGAGCCGCCCTGGAACGCGGGTGTACCTTGCGGACGCCTTGTATTGGGTTCGGCGTACTTTTAGACGAACTAATTCGTTACGTGTGCTAGCACCGTACGTGGGTTTAGTGTTGTCTAGGGGGAAAATCCATGTTAAAATCGTTGTGCCGTATAATTTTTAAGATGTTTGGATAAGGTAGATCCATCAGCGACTGAGCATCACAGTGAGCTATGTATGTAAATTATTACATAGCGAAATTGTAGATATTGTATGGGGCATGGGGCCACTACCGGTACAAAATAATGGTAACAAAATGTTTATTGATCAGATCTCCTGATCATGCTCTTGGGACTTCTGGAGGCTGGAGTGTCACCGTTTGTTGGCTGCTTCGGCTATAAGTGGCGACGTGCGGTGATGATGACATCTTGTTTGGTTGCTGGCGCTGTATCGTTTCTGTGGTTTGCTCTACCCGACGTGAACGTTCCCGAAAGCGTTGGTAAGTCAAAAAAAATATTAATACCTTTGCAATGGCTAGTACTAACAATTCCAAAATCTCAGCTAAATTGAGTTTGATTGATTGTTATACATGGAATGGTATGTATCCAAGATTGTATAAGATATTGGATGATCCCAAGATCCTTTTAGAAAAACATGTTTCTGGAATGAAGACCAGTTGACTACCATAGACTAACTGATTTTCAAAAAGCATTGTAATGTAAGTTATTTTAAGGTGTGATTTACTAATCATCCATTCGTTAAGAATGTTTTGATCTCAACCCCTAAATCCCACTAACCTTTTTATTATTGCAGGATATTGCCATGGCAACAATACTCTAACAGCTTTCGAAGCTGGTCCCCGCACTCCTATAAGGCTGTCCATAATTCTCTTTACATTCATCGTCTTTGGAGCAACGAGATTGTTGTTATGGTGCCACGGGATCGCTTATATAGATGAGCACGCGCCGTCCAGGCTGGCAATGCATTACGGTGAGCGCTTTATATACGCCTACGTTAATATAGAAAGTTAAGTTTGAGGTGGAACAAACGGGAGATTACTTTAATTTTTTTTAACAAATATTAGTAACTAGTAGTTGCAGGGATGTATATAACGATCTTTGTACTACAATACTAGACCTCGCTGCGAAAACAAAATATGAAATGCTTATGAAATAATTTAGCTTTAAACTTCTTGATGTTCAATTTGCAATTAAGCGAAAGTTACCTTAATAAATGTAAACTAATCCTAACCCTTAACCTAATAAACTCGTGATTTTTGCATTTATTTGATTTCTTACGTAGAAAGACTGCCAAATTTGAGAGGTTTCAAGGCACCATTCTAATCTCTTGTTAATTTTATGAAGAAACTTTTGGTCTAAACTGCATAAACAGAATTTTATATTTTTTTCCGGCCAGTTAAGGTTATAAGATGTGTTTTATAGTACAGCGGTCTTCATAGCGGATTACAGTAAACGTGAAAGAACTAATTTCAGTTAAATCATTGCAGGAGTGTTGTCTGCTCTGCGAATGCTCGGTTTGGTGATGAGCTACAACGTTTTGACGGAGTTGCTTGAGACCAACATGACTGCACAGACGCTGATAATAGGCATAGGCCTTTTGGTGAACGCACTCCAGGTGTATTTGAATGTACCAAAGGTCGCGCCGGAGATAGAGGACCCGGCGAAAGGCCCCACAGACGATCTAAGTGAGACTTCGCCTTTCGTTCCTAAGGTGCCAGGTTCGGACAAAAGGGGTAGGCCGTGATTGAAAACTTTACGCTTCCGCGGCTTGGGTCACCGTTGCGAGCGAGCAATCGCATAGTGCATTGTTTTGATACAGATACAATCGACTTAGTGCATGATTTTTCTTTGATGTCGATTGCGATTTTTGAGGTCAATCGCTTTGCCATTCGCAAGCAATTCCACTAGGGATAATCATCCAGTTACTTTAGTAACGTAGCCATCGACTCGGCTGTGTCTAATCTACGAAGGCCAACCGATTATATCGCTCACCACCTGATAGGGATTTGTGAAATTCTATAGATTCTCTCTTTGTCAATAGTTGTTACGTATCAACAATTTAATATCTAAACTTTTATGCACGATTCTCATCTAAAGGAAGATTTGTTTAAGTTCGGATAAAAATTATGTTTTTCTGGCACAGATACAATTAATCAGATTGAAACAATAAATCGACATAAAATAGTAGTTTTTTTTTTCGGGAACTGTTAAATGGTATAAACATACGAATTGATCAACATTGTGTCATAGAAATGTTAAGACATTTGAATGCTGTATGTCTTTCTTTTCAATATTATCATTGACCGTTTCTCTGCATGTTTAATCGCTTTTGTTCCTTGCCTCTTAGTGTTGTATTTCGTCTGCAGTAATTGTATTGTGGCTTTGCCTTTATAACTTTATAAACTGAAACTACCTTTTATTTTGGACATATATTCCTTAAATAAAAAAGTTCCCATTTAGTAAAGTTACGTTCCAGTTTACTCAAGTACTTTTTGCCGCGTACTAAAGTACTTTATTCAATTCCAGGCTTGAGGGCCAGCGTGGTGCGCGTCTTCTTCAATACCTTGGCGATGTCGCAAATGGTGGCGATGGGGTTGATGGCTGCGGCGCTTTGGGGATTCGCCTATCACCAATCCGATTATCTCAAGGTACACTACTGTCTGCTATTTTTTTAAATGTTATCAGGACTCCGTGGCGCAGTTGCCAAGGTATTGGTTTCGGCGTCGGGGGTCGTGGGTTCGATTCCCACACGGGAAAACTATTTGTGTGACCCACACGTAGTTGTTTCGCATCTGGGTCTTTGTCCACGTGAAGTTTATGTTTGTAAAATTTAAGTTAAGTTAATTAAAATTAAGTTAATAATTTCACAGGATAACTGCGTTGTAAGGACATTTTATCACTATTGTTATCCTAAAGTAAGGGTAATGTTTAAAAAAAAGAAAAAACAGACGAGGGTTGTTGTATGTTTTTTAACAGTCAAGCTTGAGCTTTGGTTGGTAATGTACTCGTTGATAGTTTTTTTCTCTTTCTGTTTTTTACTCTTTGGTAGTATATATTTTGGTACGGGAATTTGTAATAATGCACATTGAGACACTATACGTATCTTCAAAATCCTTACTTAATATTGTAAAGGCGAAAGTTTGTATGTATGGATGGATGTTTGTTATTCTTTCGCACAAAATCTATGAATAGATTTTAATGAAACTTTACAAATAACATAGCTATAAAGATATTGTGTGTATTGTACAAAATATAGGTAATGATAAGTGTCAACTAAATAGTGTATAATAAAAAGATCCATTGTTAATTCCCTTTGGCCACGAGGGTGAAGCTGCGGTTAACAGCTATTATTCAATATAAGTTTCCCTATAACTTATTTATATTTAATTGAATTATCTATAAATTGAAATTAACATTTATTGGTAGCCGAGACTGAGGATTTTACCGCTTGGAAAATGGCTCATAAACTTATATAAAGTTTCGTCAGATTTGGTTCTCAGGTATCTGTTGCACTTTTGTGCAATGACTGACAAAGGTCACAAAGGTGGTGACAGCTTTGTAAAGTTTTGTAAAGTATAACGCTCTAGAAAACCTCTCAAATTTAACCGATTGTCTCTTTACCTCCTCAACATTAACCGATTGTCTCTTTCCAAAGTCGATGTGCAATATTTGACACCGAGTAATAAATCTATTTATTTTAACGATTGTAATTTCAAATTATTACAGACAAAGTTCTATCTACACGTGGAAAGGAACAGTCCGATGAACAACGCTGAGATATTACGGAACCACGCCGTAGTGTTGGCCGTGGCGGTAAGTTGAACAAACTCAAATTCAAATATCTTTATTTAATACTAGCGACCTGCCCCGGCTTCGCAGGTGTGCAATGCTGGATGTTTGTTTTCGACAAAGTTTCTCTACTATATTATGCATATAAACCTTCCCTCTTGCATCACTCTATATATTTAAGAAAACCGCATCAAAATCCGTTGAGTAGCTTTAAAGATCTAAGTATCTATAGGGACACACAGACAGCGGGACGACTTTGTTTTAAACCGACTTCAAAATGGAGGAGGTTTCTCAATTCAACCGTATATATTTTTATTTTTTTATGTGTGTTCGGGGATAACTTCGTTATTTATGAACCGATTTTGATGATTCTTTTTTGTTGGAAAGGAGATATCCCAAGGGTGGTACCATGATAAGGAAACGGCAATCCTCAAATGTTATAGGAGTTGACAATGTTGTTTTACTTTCCGCCTTATATACTATGTAGTGATAGAAGCAATACACTTAATTATTGACTCTCAAAATGCTACTATACGGTTCGGAAAAGAAAAGCCACTGAGCTGAGAAGAGCCGGCGAAAGAAACTCAGCGGGACATTTTTTTAACTTTTTTATTTGACAAAATACATGTTTACAAATGTATTGAAGTCCACTCGAAAGAGCCTGGAGCGATCAGTTCCTTTTCAGTGTACACACATTTAAAGCGGTGTAAGTTTAGTACCAAAAAGACCCTTAATTTGTTTTATTAGCTTAAGTAACCTAAACATAGCAGTATCGCTTACACAGTACTCTTTGACAACAGCTAGAAGATTCCCATCACTACATGGTATGAAACGAAGTCGTATAATACATGACGCCCGTGCGAAGCCGGGGCGGGTCGCTAGTAATACATATAATACCCACTGTAGAAGTCTTTGTTCATCGGTGGAAAACAGAACTTATTACATCATGACTGATGATGGATGGAATGATTAAAAGATGATACGCAAGATGAAGAGGATGATGTAATTCAGCATCATCAATTTTGTCTCTCCAATACAATTTGTTCTTCAAAATGGTATCTGATTATACCTGATACCAAATCTTAATCGTATTTACTTTTATTATTTTCTTTGGTCACTGATCAAATACCAGAGATAGTTAGTCAAATAAAATTTTTTTAATTCTTTTTACCAGACTGCCTAAGGATGATAATGTTTTTCGATCGCGTATGTATGCATGTGGTGCGAGTGTGTGAGTTTCTGCGAGCGTGCGTGCGTGCTTGCGTGCGTTGTGGGAGCGACGTAGGGTCTTTTATTCCAATATGGTGTCCGCGAAAAAAAACAGGAATGATGCACTCGGGTTTTTCTTTCGATTGACAATGAATTTTTCCATTTTTTTAGTAAGAAAGCAACGAACTAGTCATTTATACGATGCCGTCGAACGTTTCAGTACATGGGCGTGAAGTTCACGCCACCGATAATGGAGCACGTGGTGAAGACGCAAGTCCTCGCCCACGTGGCGAAGATGTGCGTGTTCACGTTGGTTCTGCACGCGCTGATCGCCTTTGTGGTCAGCTGCGAGCGCGGAGAAGTGGCCGGCTTGGGAGAGCGCTACGTTCAGCCGCAGTGCAGTCGGGCTTGCGGGTGGGATCCTCAGCTTATTACCAGTGTTTTTTCATGTGTGAGAAGGTGGCGAGGCGGCGGTTCGCCCGATGTTAAGTGATAACCGCCAGCTATGGACATTTGCGACAGCCGTGGGGTTGAAGATGCGTTGTCACCTTAGAATAAAGTGGGCCCCGACTACCTGATTCAGCAGACGAAACGCAGAAGTATACTACTTCTACCTAACGCCGGTCTTCTGTGGGTTCACCTGATGTTAAGTGATGGCCGCCGCCCATAGACAATTGCAAGGCCCGAAGGTTACGTGGCGTTACCGCCTTTTAATAATGTGGGCCCCAGCTACCTCACTCAGACGAAAAGCAGAAGTGTAACATTTCACGCCGGTCTTCTGTGAGGTTGTGGTACTCACCCGGATGGACCTGCCAATTCGTGCAACAGTGAAGACTGTTGCGTGGCCCTACCACAGTTACAAGCGTGTACAAGATTGTCACTCACTCTCCGGCTCGACGACCCAAATTGCTTTGGTCTCCGTAATGAACCCGCCACTTTCCAGACGAGCCTACCCATTCTTCCCATCCGTGCAACAAAATATGTTGCATGGCCTTGCTTGAGTAAACTCTTCAGAGTTTAAACAAATGTTGGTAAACGACTGTGAGGTCGTGGCACTTACCCTGACGGACCTGCCGATTCGTGCAACAGCGGAGACTCTTGCGTGCTGGATGCTGTTTACCTCTTACACCAATAGTACGTTCGTCAACTCTTAGGTGCGCACCTCAATGGCAGGAGTTCTCGCCTGTGTGCGTGGTGGACCAGATGACGACGTTCCTATCGCCGTGCCACGCGGGATGCACGGGCACTGAAGAGGTGGGCGGTCTGAGGTGAGTTGGTCTTTCACACGGGGAACATTAACATTTCTATTAAAGGAGCTCAATAATGCAAAAAAAAGGGTCAAGTTCTAGTCGTACCCGTGCACGAAGGGTTCCGTTATCTATGAAAACTGCAGAAAAATCACGTCTGTTTTATCTTCCATACAATCCCCCCTTAAATATTTTTTATTTGTTTTTTAGTGTTTATTGTAATAGCAGCAGAAATATATCAACTGTCTCACTATCACGGTTCATGAGATACAGCCTGGTGACAGACGGACGGGCAGACAGACAGACAGCGGTGTCTTAGTAATAGGGTCCCTTTTTACTCTTACGGAACCCTAAAAACTGCCAGTGCACTCTTGCGCCAGAGGGTGTGGGTTCGATCCCCACTGCTGGAAAATATTGTGTGATGAACATAGTGTTTTTCTAGTGTCTGTTTATTTAAATATATATAATATGTATTTATTTATAAAAGAAGAGTACGTTTAAGTATGTTCATCAGTTATCTTGTAGACATAGCACAGGCTATGCTTAGTTTGGCACTAGACTACGTTGTGTAAAAATATTTCGCAAAATATTATTAGTTTTATTAAAACATTGCCCTTGCTTTAGGAAAACTTTATCCTGTGTTATAGATGCCGTTTTTATAGATAACGGTACGGAAGCCTTCCTTGGCCGGTTTTTTATACACATTGCATTTACCTAAAGATAACATAGTGTAGTAAGAACGTTTTACAAACATGAATTTCACGCGGACAAACACTCAGACGCGAAACAACTATCTGTGGGTCGCACAAATAGTCGTTCCGTGTGGGAATCGAACCCACGACCCCGACGCCGATGCCAATACCTTGGCAGCTGCGGCACGGAGTCGTCGCGAAATGTAATAGGAAATCCTTAAGCTACACAACTGCAACTTTTTATCATCTGCAGGGTGTACAGTAACTGCACGTGTGCGTCGCTCAGCCGACGAGCAGTGAGCGGTTCCTGCAACAGTAACGCTTGCAACGGCGCGCTACAACTGCACCACGTGCTCTTCGCACTTTTGCTCTCTGTGACCGGTGAGTAGCACATTTCTCTTACATATAATCGATAGAGATCTCTAATTATTGGTATTTGTTTTTATTGCGGCAACAGAAATACATCATCTGTGAAAATTTAAACTGTCTAACTATCACGGTTCACGAGATACAGTCTGGCGGCACACGGACAGACAGACAGCGGAGTCTTAGATAAAATAAAAAAATATATAAAATAGCACTGTTTATGTACCGCTTTAGCTTGAAAAGACGTATTCATAGATATGTATATTATATATATTCATAGATAAGTACTGGTGAAGAATTTGTCTGCAATAGTTTTAGAATTACTACATACAGGGTGTTCCGAAAACTGGCGCATTGTTGATTTTATGACGTCGGTGCAAGACGACGAAACGCTGAGCAGTCAGCCTTAACAGTCAACAATCGATCTTTGGGACGTCAAGACGAGGAACTGTAATTATAAACATAACACTGATACCCACAGCGTTAGATTGTTGACCTTTGTGAAGTCAAGACGACGAATCGTTTCTGACTGTACTGATACCCACAGCGTTAGATTGTTGACCTTTGTGAAGTCAAGACGACGAATCGTTTCTGACTGTACTGATACCCACAGCGTTAGATTGTTGACCTTTTTGAAGTCAAGACGACGAATCGCTTCTGACTGCACTGATACCCACAGCGTTAGATTGTTGACCTTTGTGAAGTCAAGACGACGAATCGTTTCTGACTGTACTGATACCCACAGCGTTAGATTGTTGACCTTTGTGAAGTCAAGACGACGAATCGCTTCTGACTGCACTGATACCCACAGCGTTAGATTGTTGACCTTTGTGAAGTCAAGATGACGAATCGCTTCTGACTGCATTGATACCCACAGCGTTGGATTGTTGACTTTTATGAAGTCAAGACGACGAATCGCTTCTGACTGCACTGATACCCACAGCGTTGGATTGTTGACTTTTGTGATGTCATGACGACAAATCGCTTACTGACGTCGACCACTCCCGCAGCGTTAGCGTTCCAAGGCCAGGGCGTGGTGATCCTCCGCGCCGCCGACGTGCGCGACAAGCCCACCGCCCTTGGCCTCACGGGGGCCATTGTGGCCATCTTCACCTTCGTGTGCGGCCACCTCATCTTCCTCGGCGTAACAGGTCAGTGTCAGTTGTTTTCAAATGACTCGTTTTATCGCCTTTTAACTTTGACTTTTAATTCTCGAAGTTTCTAACCCTCATCAGCGTTCAGCGTCAGTACGGAGTCCTCCTTACTAATATTATAAAGGCGAAAGTTTGTATGTATGGTTGGATGCTTGTTACGAGTACTCTTTGACGCAAATACTACTGTATGGATTATAATGAAACTTTACAATAACATAGCTTATACGAGTAAATCAGAATAAAACATAGGCTATACTTTATATACATAATTTTATATATATCTGTCTTTCTGTCTGAATGTTATGCCTTCAGCCTAATCTACGCAGACGTAGTCCCGGGCAGTAGCTAGTAGTCAATAAGTGTCTAAGTACTAATCAGAGTCTCAAATAACCAGACGGAGCGCAGAGTAAAACACCGAACGGAAACTTCGCGGTCTTGTTGTAATCTTTTCTTTCAATCTTTATTCATATCATGTCAGCTTGTGTGATACCTCATTTTAACGCGGCGCAGGATATGTTTTGCTTGTTATATCGAAGTAATGGGCGTTAGCCATTAACGTGCAATTCTTCGGCATTGTGGACATTCGGTTTTTCAATAGTACAACAAGTTTAACTGTATGCAAACAAGTTACAAGTTTATCTACACCCCGGAGTATCGTCAAGTAGCAAGCGGGTGTACAAAAATTATAATCAGGGCTTACTTTCAAAACCATGCTCCGTATCTTTTAAATTGTATTTATTTCGAATGTTAAGGGTTGCATACGATTTAAACCTTTTTTAACCGACTTCAAGAAGAAGGAGGTTCACAATTCTACTGTATTTTTTTTAATATTTGTTACCTCAGAACTTTCGACTGATACTTTTTATGTTTGAAAGCTGGTTCTTCCCATGTGCTCCATTATCAATTTCATTGGTATCGGATAGTAGGCTCTGGAAATACTCAGGAAACTCCTGAAAATCAATTATAAAATTAATAAAGAGCGGTCTTGTTTTTCGTTAGTAAATTCAAAGATTTTAAGCCGACAGAGCCGAGTTTAAACTGACAATCAACAATAACCATTCGCATTATGACTCCGTGGCGCAGATGCCAAGGTATTGACTTCGGCGTCGTGGTTCGTCCCCAAGTCAAGGGTTCGATTCCAACACGGGTCAACTATTTGTGTGACCCACAGATAGTTGTTTCGTATCTGGATGTTAGTCCAAGTGAAATTTATGTTTGTAAAACGTCCTTACACAGGATAATGTTATCCGAAAGTAAAGGCAACGATTTAAAAAAAAATGATAATGATAAAAAAAAGGAAAAAATTATAACCAACAGTCGGTTCCTGCATATGGTGGGAGGGGGGCAGGTGTCACCTGCAGAGCAGCAAATACCCGTACCTGATCAGCGGCATCAGCGCTGCGATGGTACTGTTCTCCTTCATCATTACCCTCACCACGGTCGTCTACATGAAGGTAGCGGAGCGGCGGACGAAGGCCGAACCCACCATCAACTTGTCCGACGAGGCCGAATGCTAGCTGTAAACTTATAATAGATTTACGTCGATTTATAAACGCCAATTATTGTAATTCAACAACCTTCAACCGGCATATACAGGGAGACTTTTCTAAGTGTATCCATTTTTTTTTTATTAAATTCTAGACATGAATAATGTTACATAAAAAATGATAAAAATTTTAAATCACTCGTAAGTAATTAATTACATTAATTTGAACTTATCTCAAAAAGTGCGTGATTTATACGCAACTCATTTATTTTACGCGCGATCATTCACAACTAACACGCGCACAAGTTCGTTTGTGTGCGTGAACAGAGGTATTTATGAAGGACTACCGCGTTGCAAACAAGTTCTGTTTTTTAGGGAATAGAATGGTAATTTTTTTGAAAAAATGAAAGTTTGTTTTTATTTCAATAAACGATTATACTACCGAGTTTGAACTTCCTGTGTAAATTTGGGCACCTATAAAAAAGCCTCCCTGTATAAAAGCTAGAGTTGTAATTGTGTTGTTTCGTCACGCGCACTTTCGAAGTTACACTTCATAGTTGGCGGCAAACCGACTAACTTCACGGCATCACCGTGGCAACCAATAACAACTTTTTGACACTTACCTATAATTATAAGTAATTTTGTGAAACCGTTACCAATTGCATTCAATATCTTTTTTAAGAAACAAAGAGTACTGGTGCGGGGTATAAACTTATTAGTACTTTTTATTTTGTTACGCTAAAGAAGTATAACTTCGTACGTGCGTACGTACACACAATTGTTTTATTTATATATATGCGTAGTTAGAAATTAAGATGGGTTAAAATTTGGATACTTTTTATCGCGTTAAATATCACGGATCAATTTCGAAAACCATGCGTATTTCACTGCAAGTGGGAGCAGAGCAAATAATACACAATAGTTGAAATGTATACATATTATATATATGTATATATATATATATATATATATATATATATATATATATATATATATATATATATATATATATATATGTATACATTATATTGTTGTCTCCCTTGATTTTCCTTTTTTCACTTTGTACATTCGTTTTGTTTGCACTCAAGGGAGAACAACTTGACTGGAACAACTTTAGAAACGTTTAGTGAGTCTTATGAGACTAGTTACCGCTAGTTTCGTAGACTTATGTTTTGTAAATGTTTCCATAATTACTGTTTATAGCGGTGAAATGCTGACAACCGTCTTTATAGATTAAAGCTGCAAAAATAAAGTTTGAATTTGACGTAGGAATTTGTGTTGTGTGTGATGTATTTTTATGTTTAATAGTGACGCGATGTACGTAAACTACGCATCTAGTCAAATCTTAAATTACGATGTAAGTATAGAAATTTAATTAGAATAAGTTAATTAATAACACTATTTTATTAATAATGGATTTAAATGTTTTATAAAGCACCTACTTTTTCGGTGATCTATATTGTAAATAAGAATTAGATAATAAGAAAAGTAGTGTTTAGATTTATTAACTTGAGTTTTAAAAGGGAAAATAAAAAATGTTATTAAGAAATGGTAAAGATTTCCTTGCATTTATAGAAACGATGAATTTCTCATTTCTTTATCTACATAGCTGTTTGTAATAAAGTATTTGTTATATAAAAGACATCACAGAGAGAAAAAAATTGTTAAGATTGCCACATAAAATGTGCGAATTAATAAAATTAAAGAATTGTTCCTACTTTATATTCATATTCCAACCGTTATTATTAGTATCTATGATTGATTAACAATACTAAACAGAATTAACCACAATAGATAAATAATACGCAACTTTATCTATTACCCAACTAATCAAAACTTACACCATGCGTATTAGGAAACTGATAAAAAATAGATACCTAAAAATATTTTTTTCACTTATAAATGAATGCAGCCATAAACACTGAGACACTGGAAACATTATGTTCGTCACACAATATTGCTCTGAAGTAGAGATCGCACCCACGACAACAGCCAAACAAGTGACACGCTTGTGCTTTCGATGACTCTGAAGTAAAGTAACAGCCTATATATGTCCCACTGCTGGGCAAATGCCACCTCGAATTAAAGGCGAGCGCCCGGACAGTGAGCTGTCACGGCTACAGCTGGACGACTCTGGAAAATTTCAAGCAATATTGATTCTACGACAGCCCAAACCAGCATTAATTACGGTAAATGTAAATAACTTTAACTCCGGCGTAATTCAAATCAAATAAATTTTTAAACGATAGAGAAAAATCACTTATGAATTTATCAACAAGCAGAATTCGGCGGTCGCTTATAGTTATCGAAAAAATAAATAATGAAATAGTGTGATTTTTACTATGGAAATCCGCCATTTTTTTTGTTGTCAATATGTCAATTCAGCTCGTATTTCTTGGTGGTCATAAAAAAAAACCTAACATCGAAGGTTAAGGCGGGAACTCCGCTCCCGCCTGAACTTTCTAACCTAATCTATCCGAGTCGGATTCGCTCTGTGTCGGTTCTGTGACTCATTAAATTAAAGAAAAATCGGAATATCGATACGTGTATGATGTCGCCCGCTTCCTATATTTATCATGTTGGCAGAACTGTGTATTGAGTTATTGAAGTCAAACAAATAAAATGGTGGATTTCTTAGTACAAAAAACAAGATTGTCGAAGTGTGTTGAAGTGTAAACGGCTGATTGCCACACCGACGAAAATCTTAACGTATTCTTCTACATTGTTTTCTTAGCATTTGAAGCAATGCTTGGCGCTAAGCGCTTGTGGCAATCAGCCGTTTAGCTCAGTGGCTAGAGCGTCAGGCCGCGAATGCCGAAGACGTGGGTTCGATTCCCACAGCGGCGACAATCTTTTCGCACTTTTTCTACATATTTTAATGTTCAATCTTAAGCAAAGATTAGCACTATAAACAATTTAAAATTTCTAAAAAAGCAATGGCGACATCTCTCGTTCGAATTATCGTTGTAAAACGATATTCGAAATTGTTTGTATGCTGGAAAGGATATAACAATAGATGGCGCCAAGCATTGCTTCAAATGCTAAGAAAACAATGTAGAAGAATACGTTAAGATTTTCGTCGGTGTGGCAATCAGCCGTTTAGCTTAGTGGCTAGAGCGTCAGGCCGCGAATGCCGAAGACGTGGGTTTGATTCCCACAGCGGCGACAATCTTTTCGCACTTTTTCTACATATTTTAATTTACCTTAATTACTTCAAAAAAGGAAGTCCTCAATTCGGTTGTATTTTTTTTTAATTTTGCTACCTCAGAACATGTCATTTATGAATCGATTTAAAAAAATATTTTTTCATTGGGTTCAGTTTGTCCACATGTGGTCCCGTATACGATACATACAGGGATCTCATCATAATCAAACTTTTCCTCCATTTTTCATTAAGGTGCACAGAATACCACTATAAAAAATAATATCCTTCAAAAAATTTAATAGCAAAGCTGTCATATAAAGTTTTCAAATACTTCATTGTAACATTTTGTATGAAAAAGTGGTCGTTGGTGTAAAGAAAACAAACCGGTTGACCGCAAGCATTACTTAAAAATGTAATAAAAAACGAAGTATATATAATACGTTGAGATTTCGTCGGATAAACCGTTTTGTTGAGTGGCTAGACCGTCGAGCGCGTACCCCAGAGGACGCAGCAAAAACTTTTCCATTTTTATTTTGGCACTATAAAAATTAAGTGACTGACATATTTGATGTCAGTTTTGTTTTTTGCTAATATAAATGTCGTACGTACAATGATATAGGTAGATAATATGATACCAGCGTAGTGAAACTGAGGCTTTTCAAATGTTATTTGAATTGATCAGAATGATATTCTTAATCCTGGGCAACTCAAATAATATTTGAAAAACTATTTAACAGGTGACTAGTTGACTTCAGATTAGTTATATAAACATGCCATATTATAATGTAAAGCGGAACAATTTTTAAACGTCGCGCAGTATCGACATCTATATATTTTAGCTTATAATGTACTAATAATGTGTAACTTCGTGTGCGCTAAATCTACCGGGTCCATACGTTTCGAATTTTAACATAGCGCCATCTATTGGATACTTACTCAATCCAGCCGATTAATTTACTTTACACCGCCATCTGTTGAAATCTTATGGAACTCACAGATAACTATAACTCTTTGTCATCAAATAAACAAATAATTTGAAATAAAATAATATTGATACCATAAATTGAGATGTAAGTTATCCCATCTTTCTAGTTGGATCAAACTGCACACGGTGTGCAAATTTGATTAAAATAGTTTAAGTAGTTTAAGAGTTCGCGGACAAACAACGTGACGCTTAATTTATATATATTAAGATTACTGTGAGACAGATTTTCTGGTGTAGCTGCACCACTGGAAGTCCGCAGTTAGTATAGGGCCTATACTAACTGCGGTCTTCCAACGGAGAATCTTAGCTCCCGCTAACCTCGCGATCAAGCTCACGACTCTGCAATCACTGATTCGTCATATCCTTCATTCGCATCAAAATGCTACTCAGACCCATCCTCCATTGAGTTTCATCATGCTGGAACACGACATCTCATTCGGTGGCATGACTATACCAACGGGTGGTACCTGCAAGCTGACGGCTGATGTTACTGCCACTGATTTCAATACTCATTTAACACTATCGAGAGGAAACATAGAGGATGTCATTCAAGTAATTCCTAATGAAGCTTATTAGCTTACTCCCTAAAAGTATATTTTTTTAGTATTATTAGTACTTCATAGATTTATAAAACAGCTTTAATAATTTCTTTAATTGCTACGTTCTAAATATTATAACATCTATGATCAGCGCCCTTCAGTGTTAACCGTGTAACAATTTTTTTATCTTAATTTCTCTTCTCATTACGTAAATGAACGAGGATTTGTGTACGTATCATGCAGAATTCATTTATTATTAGTTCTCTTTGTGTTCTCTACGCTGAACCCAAAAACGTTATGTCAAGATAAAAGCTGATAACTATCGCTAAATATCTTTCGACCTAGTAGATACGCAGGCCTTTTAGCATATTTATGTTGTTTTTCAATTTTATGTAAATGAATAATAATTAATAAGAGCATGCTGAAATTATATTTTATATTTTCAATAAATTGCGGTCGGGAAGTGACATGTAGCACGATTTTATCGTAACTTAGTGTTAATAATTACATTTAGTAAGTGTTGAGTTCTTATTCGTAACATGACATCTATTACAAATATTCCGAGTAAGTAATCTGCTTTTATATAATTACTATTTGAAATAAAGCGTTGGTCTGATTCTGAAGATTTCAAGTCTCAATTTTCTAACTTCTCCACTAAAAAAAATCCCCCAAAATAGATTTGTATATCTTTATTTCAATCTGTTTAATGATTTTTAAATATTAAAAGTATTGTACTGTACTTGTAAAGGCGAAAACATTTTTCTACAGTGTTATCTAAGTTAAGGTTGCCTTTTCCAGGATGGAAGAAGGCGTGGTACTTCCTCCGCACGTACATACTTACCATCCCGCGCTTCGATTTATTCCTCCAAGGGGCTTTGCTTATTGTTATACTCCTGGAAAGCAACGTCTATCTCTTGCTGAGGAGGAACGCCGGCACTGGGTTTCTTCGTTCAGTTAACGAAGGTAAGGGCAGACAAGGGATTCAGCTGGTAGGCACCTAATCTTCTTGCATTCAATAACACGTACTGGCAGAGGCGGATTAAACACTGAGAGCGCTGTAGGCAAGCATCTCATCGGCGCCCGTACTTTAAAGCAATAAAATAGGCATGGCATGTAAACCCCAAAATCATGAAGTAATATAATTTCTGGCTTTACACGCCAGTCGAGCTTTTTATTTTAAATTAAAAAATAAGTTTAAAATTTTTTTTCCTCGAAAACTATAAACTACCGGAGAATTCTTTATTTCATGGACTGATTTTTCTCTAAAATTTTTTGTTAGGTCGAAAAACACCTGACGACTATGGAAAAAATACCGTATCTTGATTAAACCATTCAGTGCTATAATTATATTCTTGTGTTTCCTTATTTATATCCCAATTGACTGGATCACAATCTACCATAAACAGTTTATTTTGCGACTGCTTCACAACTTCTACTGCTAACGGAGTAGGCAGCGTAGGCCCGGACAAATTTTGTGGTTGTTTATAACTAGTAGGAATTTCATATTGCACAGGATCGACAGTAAACGTACTTTGGATTGCCTTAGAAGATTCAGTATCATCACTCATATTTTTCGTTTTTCTCTTTAGCCTTCCTTTTATATTCTGCACCACTAGGTTTTTTCTTAATTTACTCATTCTTTAAGTAATAAACAAAAACTTAATGGACTAATTTAATACACACATAACACCGCAGCGAGAACGTAAACAATAAAAGCGCCAGAATCGAACCGAACTCAACTTCGACACTTTTAGCTTGAAGTCAAAGGTCGCATATCGGAACAACGCCAAGCCACGTGGAACGCTCTACAAGAAGACATCGAGCCATCGCACACTGCCTACTGGCAGTTGGCCCGTAGTTTGAAAGCAGAGCCCCGTGAATCCCTACTGCCGTTAGTAATAATTGATAGTGCTTCACTAGCCCTAGGTTACTCTGAAAAAGCCGAATGCCTTATGACAACCTAGAGCAGCAATGTACGCCATCGCGCGAACACGTCGATACAGCCAACCTAACGGAGTTGGATCCCGTAATCGAACTTAGGACTACGCTACCACCGGTAGGTGTTCCTTTAACATCAGTGACCCCCGAATAGTTCCAAGATAATATTAAAAATCTAAAACCCAAACCTGCCCAGGCCCAGCTAAAATTAATAACAAAGTCTTAAAGTCTCTCCCTGGGCCGATTTTCTGCATACTGGCGACCATTTTCAACACACTTCTCTCCAGCTGCTCCTTCTCGGTTGACTGGTAAGAGGGCACCGTTATCGGCATTCGCAAGCCTAAGAAACCCGCTAGTAAGCCGTCTAGTTATCGACCTAAAAGCCTCCTCAATTGCTTGGGGAAGCTCTATGAGTGGCTCATATTAAATAGACTCAAAGAGTAGGTATTTTCTAACGCTCTTATACCAGTTCAACAATTCGGCCTTCGAGCGAGACTCTCTACCGACCGAATTATACTGTCTGACGGAACACATTCCGAAAGGCCTTAATCACCCCAAACACCTAAACACCGGGGCTTTCTTCGATATCGCAAATGCTTTGGACAAGGTCTGGCTGTTCGCACTCAACGTGCTAGATAGACTCGCACGCCCCATCCGGGCCTTCCAGTTGAATCGCTTCTTTCGATATCAAGTAGAGAGCACCCTCTCTACGAACTGCCCTCTCACGGCGGGCGTTCCTCACGGCTTTTGCCTCTCCCCTTTGCTTTTTACGCTCTACACGAGCAACATACAAAAAGAACCGCACGTTATTTACGCGGATGACACGGCGCTCTTTTATACAGATAAAAAGTGCCGCCGACCGCCTCGGCGATAGGTTCCGCAAGTGGAGAATAGAAGTTAATCCCGACAAGAGTGTGACAATTCACTTCACACGAAGTACTTACCCGTCACACCTTAATAAAGGCCCTCGCCAATGCAGAAAACTAGGGCTAATATCTCTATACGGCCAACCACTCACTTGGGAGATAAGGGCCAAATATCTAGGTGTCGCTTTCGACTCACCCAAGACGTTCACATCGCATATGGACGATATTAGAAACAGAGCTACGTTTCATCTCCGGCCTACTCTATCACCTAGCCAATGCGTCAAGTAAAATGCCCTTAAGGCACAAAATATTACAAAATAAGGCCTGCGTAAGACCTATTATGTCTACGCGTGCATGACCTACGCCCACACAAACCCTACCCGCTTTTACAAGTTGCAAATAGTACTAAATAAGTTGATCCGCAATCCGCAACCGGTGCGCAGTGGTATCTATTTGAAATCATCAAAAACAAAAGGCATTCGAACGTCATTCGAACTTAGGACCCCACGGCAACTCCCACCATCAGATCACATAGACCTTTCAAACTAAAAGGTCAACTTTTTTACATTGTCTACACGAACAAGTTTCTCATTTCAGATTGGTTGAGAATAGGTTCGGCGGGAGCGGAGTTTCTGTTCGGCGCTGTTCTAGCCTGGTGGGGAAGAACCTTAAGGCATTTGGCTCTATCCGGTTGGTTGGGAATTTCCGCAGCTTCGGGCCTGATCGTGCTCGCGTTCCCGTACGAAGAGTCCAACCCTCTGGTCGTTGGTGAGTGGACTGAATTACATATCTTGTGATTGAATATATTGTATTTTCTGCTATGTCGACCACTTTGTGGCAATAGACATAGCCAGCGGTTTTCAGACTTCGAATTCATTAAAAAATAACCTATTACAAATAACCTACATTAGCAATTTCTTTTATCCTGTTCATTTTCCTGCCCTTGTCCTTGTACAAGGTGGTTTGCATAAGATAATCTTCGAGTTTGACAGAAAAAATAGCAATTTTTTTGGTCAACTTAAATTTTTTTCGATTCAATTTTTATTTTATCTTAGGTTTATATTATTATTAAAAGATGCGCAACTTTATTCTCTACAATAATGGCCTCTCTGACTTTTGACCTGAAGTGCGTAGTTTCCGATTTATCGGCCAAAACCTTTTTTCAAGATGAACAGGCGTCTGAATCTCAACCGGAATCTGTCGGCATTTATCAGCATTTTGTGATTCTATACTCATTAAGTGGTCCTAAACCTAATATGAAAACAAAAATTGGATTGGTAATTAATATATTGCGATTCTTTATTTATTCTTTACTGTACACAGAGCATAAGTGAAAACAAAATTACAAAAAAAAATGTACAAATACGAGTTTAACCCTAAAAAGAGTTTTCTTCCAGCAAAACTTGTTAAAATGTTCTTCTTATCTCCTGCTGATATTGCAAAAAAGATGAAGACATTATTTTAACCTAAATATTAAAGTATCCTTTTCATAATTTCACCGTGACCTCGTATTCCGTCTGCCAGAGCTCTGCGGCGGCGGTACGATCTCGGTGTACGGCGTCACCGTTGGCGTCGAGGACACGTACGTCGCGGCCCGCGACGCGTTCCTCGTCATCACGGCCGTGCTGTGCGCCCTCACCAGGATCAGCATTTGGGCGCACGGCCTCACCTACCTGGACGACCACGAGCCGCAGAACGGGCCATATTTCTACGGTGGGTAATCCCCAATGTCGGTGTAGTATTCATATTTAGTAGTGGCGGATTCGCTTTAAGGCCCGGTCCAAGGGCGGCCACATATTAGGTGCTCCCAATCGTGACAATAAATTCACTGATGATAACAAGATATTTGATGGGCTCTGAGAAAGGTGTGGCTGGAACTTACTAAATGGGCTGGGGTCTAGGGCGGCCACGACTACAAATCCGCCACTGGTTGTATTCCCCATTATAAGTGTTGTTGTTGGGTTGTACGGTGGGTATTCCCCATTGTCGAAATTGTCAAGCGACCATTAAGCGATAGCCGCCGCCACAACATTTGCAACACCCGTATGGTAACAGATACGTTGCCAACTTGTAACCGGCGCCAGTTACCTTACTCGCCAGACGAAACGCAGAAGTGTAGCATTTCCCGTCGGTCTTCTGTGAGGTCGTGAAACTTCCCCGGATGAATCTGCTGTATGTTTGCAAAACATCCTTACAAAAACTTGTCTCCAACTTAATACTTGAAGCTAAGTTTATATAAATAAGGATGCTTTAACGCTATCAATTCCAGAGATAGAATAATGGTTCATAGTCAGGTTATATTTTTCTCCAGTAAAACCAGTAAAGGTCTGGTAGACCTTAAGTCTCTCGTAGGGTTCTTCTTCTTGGGGGTGCCCTATCACTAGGGTCGGATGTCGGCAACCGCCACACGGAATTCTTCTCTATTCTGTCATTCCATGTTATTCGTCTTCTTCCTCTTCCCCGTTTTCTATCTCGTAGCATAAGCTAGCCTAATTACGTCGGTGTGAATCAGGTATCCTCATATCGATCAGACTCTCACTGGGGCTGAACGGCCAGAGTTGGCTGCGGCCGGCTGCCGTGCAGGAGAGCTGGTGGCACGCACACCTCTCGCTCTGCATGCTGACACTCATGTTCTCCGTGCTGTTCACCCTCTTCCCGAAGAGGATGCCGCAGCTCAAGGAGGTGGACTTGGAAGATGACGAGGAGACCGGTGAGATATTCTCCTTTTGAAAGGCCCCACTACTTGCGAAAGTCATAACTTATTGATAGCTTTAGTTAAGTGTTTTATGCGAGAAGTTGGCAAGCGAGCTGGCGGTTCACCTGATGTTAAGTGATAACCGCCGTCCATGGACAATACCCGTAGGTGTGCAGAGAGTCGTAAGAAAGTTATTTAAAAAAGTGTCATACTTCTAATTCTCCTAGGAGGTCTGTACAACAATGTACACCATTATATACAATGCACTTGCAATGTGTAAAAAAAACCTATATATATTCCACTGCTGGGCAAAAGCCTCCTCTTTATAGGTGTTAGGGCATAGTCCACCACGTGACCATAGACCCCACTGCGGTATAACTGACTTCACTAATCTTTTTTTTGTAATTTTCATATAGCTTTGAGAAATATTGACTAAGGTATATCTGAAACACGAGATTGGACTCATCAGGGCTGATTTCGTCCGTGTGCCGTTTGATGCGCAACAAATCGCTGATGACGCAGACTCTGGCCCTATCGTTCCTCTACACGGGGCTGTTCGGATTCATAAACTACGACAACGAGTTCGTGCAAGCGCGGTACCACATCGAGACTCTGCGCGAGGATCCACGCACCACCAGGGCCATCAATGACATCTTCCGCTCTTTGGTCATCATCTTCTTCGTTTCTGTGAGTACGACGGGCTTTACAAAGAGATCGCTATAAAGCGATAAGGCCGCCAAATTGTACATTGCATAAATTTGTTGTTCTATTGTCACTTTTATGTATACTCTCATTCGTGTACAATAAAATGGACGGATGGATGGTGGACAATAAAAGTGTATTCATTCATTCATTCATTTAAGACCCTCGGGATGCTTCTTGTGTAGACACTTTGGCTGCCACTCGTCTTTATGGTACTTCGGTTACGATTGGCGCCGGAGGTAGCTCAAATAAGTGGCGAAAATATGAGTTGCGCAAATATTAGCGGATTCCTCTGGTGAGTGAGTTAGCCGCAGTATTGCGTAAGTACAGTTACGCAGAAGTATAACACTTCCACTTCACATCGGTCTTCTGTGAGGTCGTGGTACTTTTTGTTTTTTTTTTACGGCGAAAAGGGGCAAACGATAAGGAGGCTCACCTGATGGTAAGTGATTACCGCCGCCCATGAACACCTGCAACACCCTAGGGCTTACAAATGCGTTGCCACAGCTAAGCCGGACGGACCTGCCTACCCCAACACAGTTAAAGTATCTTTGTTCATATTCTGTGTTTCTGCTATTAGATATAGAAACCCTCCCCTCTCCCAATAAATAGTAAACAAGTAGAATATAATTTAAAAAACTAAAAAAAACCGACTGCGACTCACAGTAAATACGAATCTAACGACACTTAACGATACGTACTCTCGAAAAACATAACCCCCCTTCTGGCGCAGTCGGCTAAATATGGCAACGCCCGCACTTCCTAGCGTTCTGCAGCGGAAAGATGTCCACTCGGCAGGTGTTCAGGGTTCGATTCTCGATGCGGCGCAGCGACGGCGTCAAGGCGAACACCGCCTCTAGAGTGGGGGGCGTTGTGGCGCTCTTCGTTTGCGCGTTCTTCGTAGTGCTCGCCGCCATCGGTTGCGCCACGGGCCGCGTAGCCGGCATCTACGACGCCTACGAGCAGCCCGCGTGTAGCGCCGAATGCGGGTGAGCTACGCCTCTCGCTACGAGGGCCCACTCTCCAAATGAAATCATTTATTCATCTAAATAAGAAACATCTCATCTATCGATAGTCATTAACGAGAACATTTTTTTCACTACCTACAATAAGGTCAATTTTTTTAAAAAGAAATCAGAAAATTATTTATAAATGAAATTATTGACCATGAACGCTAACGAGTTCGAAACTGTAAATTAAGTTTAAAATAAACACGTTATTATAATCTGTATAAAACAATTTATTTAATAACGACTATCTCTAATCATCAATATATCTTGTTACAGTTGCAACACTGCGATTTACGGGTTCAGTCCTGTGTGTGCTTTAGAAACTTCCACCACCTACTTCTCCCCATGTGACGCGGGATGCAACCAGTACGAAGATCTGAACGGCTTCGTGTAAGACCCCTTTCGTATATTTAGAATAAAAAATAATAACAATTTCTGGAAACATTTTTACATAACGTTATCAAGTCTCGAACCAAGTAAAGCTTGCATTACGGGTCTTAAGTAACTTATATACTTAAAGTAAAATAAAACAAAAGCCTATATGTAATAGCTCAATGTCCAGGCGCTCGCCCTTAATTCAATATACTCGAGTGACCCGAGTTCGACTCCCGGTGCCGGCACCAATGAAATTGTTAATTTTAAGTGCTGACTTATCACGTGCTCTGCGGTGAAAGAAAACATCGTGAGGAAACCTGCATATTTTCGAAATAATAACAAAAGAAAAATATTCCGAAGACATGTGAAGTCTACCAATCCACAGTGGGATCGCGTGGTGGACTATGCCCTAATACCCTCTGTACAGATGAGGCCAGCAATGGGTCATATAATGGCTGATACTTTACTTTTGGTCGGAAGTCTGTTCGAGAACTGCACTTGCGGGGTACGCGGCGGTCGCATGACTCGCGGCAGCTGCACGGTGGCCAGCTGCCAGTCCACCTACTCCTTCTACCTGCTGTTCTTCGCTTTGGTGCTCGCCTCGTCCGGTGAGTCAGCTCTGGCGTAATAGTTGTTAACTCGCATTATTTACTCACAGAAGTGTAACTACACTAAGTCACCGAAGCGTCGTAAGCACAGTACAGTAAGTCTACTGTGGTAGGGCCACGCTGTTGCACGAATGGGCAGCTCCGTCCGGGTTAGTACCAGGACCTCATAGACCGGCGGGAAGTAAAATTGTTCTCTCTGGTGAGTGAGGTAGCCGGGGCAATAACAGCGTGATTTTCAAGGCATCTCCTGCCCCGCACAACCATTCTGGAACCAGCTGCCACCAGCGGTCTCACCGAACCGTTACTAAATGGGATCCTTCAAGAAGTGATGCAGATGCCCATGGGCGGCGGTGATCACTAATCTTCAGGTGAGCCGCCTACCAGTTTGCATTTTTTCCGTAACAAAAAAGTCACAAAAGCGGAAGTACAGTGAGTTTGACGATTCCGTGGCGCAATCGCCAAGGTTCGTCACCGGGAGCCGTGAGCTCGTAACGTGAAATTTATACACGTTAAACGTCCTTACAATACAGTAAATGGTAAATGTGTATTGTTTTCGAAGGGAAGTCCGCAATAGATCTTCTAGGTTCTTTTAATTTTAAAGTTTTCCTTGGTTATGTGTAAATATGAATAACGATAAAAATATGTCCGTGGGCTGTACTACTAGTTCTCCTGTAGACGGTCCAACAGTCCTCACGGGTGCACGAATGGGCAGGTCCGTCCGAGTAACCACCACGACCTCACAGAAGACCGGTGTGAATTGGAAGTGTTACGCTTCTGCGTTTCGTCTTGTGTCAGTCACAAGCTTGGCCCCACTTTATTAAAAGGTGGCAACGCATCTGCAACCCTACGGGTGTTGCTTGCGTCCACGAGCTGGGGTCACTTAACGTCGGGTGAACCACCAGCTCGCTTGCCACAAAAAAGACGGCCGCCTGTTCGCCACCTGAGGCCACAAGGTTGAGAGGGTGATGAAGGCTTGCAACTTCAGGGGCATCGGTCGTCATGCAGGGAATGGTGGTGATGCGCGCGGTGCGGCGGCCAGACAAGCCCTTGGCCCTGGGCCTCAGCTGCGCCATAATCGCACTGCTGGCCCATCTACTTGGCCACCTCCTGTACATGCTGATCAGCTGTAAGTTACGTGTCATCTTCTGCCTTCAAATAGGCTCCAGGACTATAGTTCTGAGATTGAGTTCAATTCTACACTGAGAGCGTTCCAATTAGCAAAACTTGAAATGATTAATAGCTGACGCAAAACACGATAGAAAAAATAAGTTTAAGAAAATAGGTGGAAATGATTCTAGAAAAAATGTATGCCTTTTTATATAATTATATTACACCTATATATTTATGTAGAGGTATATGGCGCATAAAGCCTTAAACTACTATGGTTTTTCAAATTGCAACTGTTTCTAAAAACAAAGGTGTTTTTATATGGTCATTGTTGTTCAATTATTCCTTAGAATTAAAAAAAAATATGTTATTTTATTTCATCTATGACGGGATATTGCTACAAGACTAATGCTAAAGGGTCAACGACTAACAACCATTGTTTTTCTAGATCTGTCTTGCGCCTACTACGAAAATGGCGTGTGTGTGTTCCACCATCACACGATATGGTGGATGGGCGCCACCAGCGCTATCTTTTGTCTGCTTTCGGCAACGATGAGCCTTGTCGCCAGCAGGATACCACCCATACCGGGTGTTCTACTGACAGTAGATCACCCCAGCTGACAATAAAAAATGGACTACAACAGCCGTTTCATTTTCTCCTCAAGTCAAGTGTAGATGTTATGTATGGATAACAATTACTGATATTGAATAAAATATTGACATTTCAACTTTCTTATTATGTTATAAGCTGATGCCATTAGTAAATTTGGATAATAATATGTAGTTAAGTGGGTGTTAGTTAATGTCAAACCCAATGTATTTTAGATATTACATTATATAGCATGTTGGAAAACAGACCAACTTCACAATGTACTTGCTAAATATGTATAACAGCAACAAAACATTGTCTCCGCTATTGTTTATGGTCTCTTAATACAATAAGTGAGACCATCAGGAAGAACTAGAATATTGTCAAAGACATTTCCAGTTGATATAAGCAAAAAATCGATAATTATTAAGATACAAAAAGTATCTAAGATGAGTGAAGACACCTAAGTACTAAGACACTTAAAGCAGAAACATTCCGCAATTTAGTCAGCAAACCTCAATAAAAGCCTGTATTGTCTATAAACCATTTAATACAAAAATTAGTCAAGATCTCTTAAAAATAAAAAATCCCTATAAAACTAAGATGCAGATGGAGACAGAACCTGCGTAACTCCACTGGTGTCTAGTGACATTCTACTTGGCCCTGTGTGTGGAACATCATCCTCATCCAAAGCTTCTCTCATTCGTCTCTTGTATATCTCACTATCTGGGTTGTTTTCTTGGTTACGACATCTATCTAATTTCTTCTCAATGATCCTAACTCTTTCTCTTGCTGGACTTTCAACCATTTTCACCATCGAGCGTATTTTTCTTACCGCTTCAATTAAAGCTGCTAATTTGTCTCGGCCAGCATCGCGAAACAACATATCAGTGACATAACTGTCAAGATTTTCCTGTTCTTTACTTGCTGCATGCAGCACTGCTGCTAGGGCGATCTGAGATGGAGCGTACAAGAGACATGCATCTGTAAGAAAAACCTTTTCGAGAAATTCATCAATTCCGCTGCGGAGTCGCTCTGGGTTTGCTAGAGTGCATCTTGTTTTTATATCAATTAGAAAGCCTTCAACTGGTCTGAAAGGATTGTGAATCGTCAGGTGATAGTTTAGTTGTTGCATCAGCAGTAATTCATTGTTTAATATTATATCAGAAGCTTTATCCCTATCTCCTTTAATGTTTGCTACAAACTGGCCGATTGAAACATTAAATTCTTCAACTTTACAAGCTAAGTATACACAGGTTGCTAAAATCTCTTTCGGATGGTAGTCCATGGATGAGTTGTATAGATAGAAACGCTTGAAATAATGAAACGCCGTACCAACAACACCCTTCGGCATTGGAGGGGAAAACCTTTTACAAAACTCTTTCAGGTGCAATTCATACTGCCGGAGAAGCAGCCTTTCCTCCTCGGGAGATAAAAAGAAGTTGTATCTTTGAAATTCGTCTACATGATGTCCGTGTTTTGATATGAAATCCAAATTATGCTTTTCGCGATGACGGGCTAGCTCATTTTCGTCACTAAATGTCCAAAACTTTTTTTGGGAACTAGTGGAGAACATAATTTTTGTCTGTTTATATTAAAATTTAAAGGAAATTTAAACTAACGGCTACAAATCATTTAAATACAAAGTACAAAAATCTTTATTTGACAGCGATTTGAGTTGACATAAGTGTTTGCGTTCCTTGTGAATAAATTAAAATATGTACATAAATAAGCATAAATTATTAACTGAAACAAAAAACCCGATTGCATTACTAAAAATTATGTTTTTAACACGCACATATATCCTTATATACGTCATAATCTATAATTATAATAATACGTGAAGCCAAAACTTTGTACCCCTTTTTAAAAAAATGCGCGGATGGAGGAGTATGAAATTTCCCACTCTTATGTTTTTTATAGAGAAGGCCTGCAGAATGCTAATATTTTTTTTTAATTATGCATATAAATACATTAAATAAAAAAAAATAATTACACATAGTACCATCATCAAATCATTCGACCATAGTTAATTATGGTCGAATTTCGACCACTGGGCGACCACTAGTATGATTAATTCCGTCAAGAGGATAAAGTTGCAGAATTTAGAGTGTGCCAAAGAATTAGACATGTAGAAACATACGTACATATACATGCATTACTACCATAATCATTTCAGCCTGTTAGTCCACTGCCTTAGTACATAAACCTGCCACTTAGTACATAAACCTCTCACACAAACTACGAACTACGATCCTGAGCCACTTGCATCCATCGACTTCCCGCACATTTGCACAGGTCGTCGCTCTATCTAGTGGGGGGCCATACTCGCATAGACTGGCTTGTGAAACAAAAAAAGTAGCTTTTAATCTAAATTTAATCTTTCGAAGATTGGTAATGCAATGCAATAAATAACTCTACGAGTTTTGTAACTTGGAATTGATGCTGATGACTACTTCAAATGTAACTTTTCTCACTGTATGATGTAATCGCTTCTTTAAATCGCTAAATATAATCTTCGAAGTTTAAAAGAAAATTTTGAATTATCATTATTTATGTAACAAACGAACTATTACATGCAGCCCTGCAACTAAGTAATTTGAAAGCAGCCACGCAGCAGCAGGTACATACGCCAATACGACAACCTTGTTGTCGTATAGGCTGCGAACGAGAGACCTAAAGTTTGCTTGCGCAGTTGCTGTGTACTGTGTAGTACCTGGTATGTGGGTCTCCCAAACCCGTGGGTTCTGGCTAGCCCAATTCTGCCCGGTTCTGCGTCAGATGAAGCTTTAATAGTCTCGGGACTGAAAGCAAAAACATCAGTTAATACAAGAGATGTGATTCAAAGTAAATGAGGTGTGTGCCGCGTTAGGCATGATAGCGCTTCCTTGCGGCGATGCACAGTCGGACAGCGGAAACGACAGGTGTATATGTGTGCCGCTCCGTTTGCCATGTTTTTGTTAATATAAAAGAACATGAATTAGCATTAAACACATATTTAAACTTTACATTTATTCTAACGCATGGTATCTACAATGTTTGTTGTAAATGATTTGATCTCATTCGAAAACGTAAGTCCAGCTTGCAATTTCGTATCTTAGACTTTTAGCAGATTATAAAACTTTGGATCTCTATAAGCTACAGAGTGAATAATTTAAAATTAATAGGATTACTGATTATCAGCTGAGTATTTCATTTGACGCATAGTAAATAATATTTTAACATTGACGTCTAAATACAAGAAAATATCTTGAAATACAAAAATTTCTCATCCAAAATTTTGTAAACAAAGTAAAATGTAAAACATTGTACATTTTTTACTAGTACATTATTCTCGTCTTCTTTGAAAGCTTATTTGGCTGTTGATAATATAAAATACATTTCTACTTTAAAAATCAAGTAAGACTGTCAACAGGTCGCGTCAAACGAAACGCATCAATTGAATCATCGGTCATCAAGTTGTAAAGTGGATAAATTAGATTATTTTCGTTATTTACCTCGCGTGTTCAGTGTTAAAGGATAATAATGTCGCGGCCGGACAGACCTAATCAGGCGCAGACCTACAAACTGGTTGTAGTCGGTGGCGGCGGTGTAGGAAAGAGTGCTATTACAATACAATTTATTCAGGTGAAAATCTCCGTATTTGGCTCGAACTACGCCTACATCTAATCTGTTACAATGCATATGATTCCATCGGTGGCGCGTTTATTTATTGTTCTTTCCCGCCAATTATAAATGCGCCACATATACTATAAACATGTGGATAAAATCATGCTTATAAATAGTGTCTAAAGATTGTTCTTTGCCAAGGCCTTTCTTTTTGTGACACCGCCCAGTAGCGTCATCACTGGTCATAGAATTCCAAAAATTATTCTGACAAGTCTCAATAAAATTAAATAAATAATTTGTTTGGTGCCTTTGTTTTATGTAAAAATAATTAAGGTTGATAAATATTACATGGTACACTTAACAAAGTAAAATTTAAATGTTATTGTTTTTATTTTTAATCTGTTTTCTTATCAAATCATTCAGTATAATCACTTAGGTAGAATGTATCAATCAGTGATATGGGACCTTTACAAAATGTATTTGATATAGAAAGTAGCAAGTCTTCTGCTAATTATAGACTTTCACGAATGAACTTATTGTATATTTGGTGGAATTGGTTGGTCTTTAACTTTTTGAGCAGAATTTGGCAATTTCCAACAAATTCACTTTTGTCACTATCTTCTGGGCAATTCTGTCTTTTATTTGCTTGTGGAAATTTGACTTTCATCATTCATTTGTCCTCAGTTCTGTAATCTATAATTTTTCTCTGTCGCTTTAACTTGGTAAACTTCTGCTATTTTATTTGTTACCAATGTCTCGTATGCTAATTGTATTATGCTAACAAATAATTTTCACAAACAAGTACAGAAAAGTGGGGCATTTGTTTATATCACACTTTTCTGTGCTTGTCATAGAAGTAATATAATTTACACATTACATTTACACAATTTAAAAAAAACCTATGATAACTTATCATAAGCCTCATAATTGCTGATAACTACCAAGAATAATCTGCCGATGTTGGTTGACTGACCTCTAAACTATGTGAAGCAGTGTTATTTACTGCCTATATTTCTCCAAGTACTAAATTTTACACAATATTTGCCTTGAAAGAGCTAATACTCAGTGTTGTTAGTATGATTTGAATGCTGAGTCATAGGTGCGAAGTTTAGGGTTTTGCAATTTAAGTGGCATAAATACTCCATTATTCTACAAAATTCTACTATTAGGCAATAATTATTATAAAGCTGATACTTTTACAACTTAATAAATCCGCTTTCCCTTTTTATTCCATAATAAATAAAGAAGATGAGAGACCAAGTTTGGCACAGAGACCGAAAAACAACTTGAGCAAAAAGCTGCATTATAGAGAGATTCCCTAAAATATACTTTTGTAAAATCAATCGCATTCCTACACACCTACTGTTTTTGAATATGATTGCCTATCTCAAACAAGTTATTAGTGCAATATTTACTAATTAGATTATTATGTTTCGTTTTGGCTCCGGCTTATCATCAGATCACCATTAACACATTTGGAATCCATACGCATGTTTATTTAGCCTCCAATTATCCTTAAAATGATGGGTGATAATTATTACACACAACCAGGATTCCTAGAACCTGGAATATCATGTATAACACTGCTGTTGTTACTCATAGTGAGTAATAAGGTGATGTTATCCCATTTTGTTTAAAATAGCTATAGGTATATTAACTTATATAATTAACTTATATTATGACAATAATATTGGCAGATTTTAAGATGAAACATTAAAGTTTGTAGAAAAAAAGACTTCGCCCTTTTTTACCTACAAATTTTTATGCTTCACCTTAAAATCTGGCGATATTATCATTATAAAAAATTCTTATGGAGTTTTTATATGTGTGTTCTATTTTATAATTTATTGCTAATGGGATAAGATGGTAAAGTGAAACCTATTACTAAGACTTAGCTGTCTGTCTGTCCGTCTGTCACCAGGCTGTAAATTTTAACTTTGAATTGTTGTGATTTGGGTGTATAACCACATATTATGACAAACTCTTCAGTTTAGACAATCTAGAGAAATCTGTTGTAGATAATCTAGAAAATGCTCATATAAAATTGTAATGAAATAAATGCACTTTTGTAGAAGTTAAAGTAATTGTTTATTGTAACACTGTGCAAATAATTTTTATATACAATGTGAAATATTGTTGTTATAAAATTGGTGTTTTTTTATTTCAGAGCTACTTTGTGACTGACTACGATCCCACCATAGAAGACAGCTACACCAAGCAGTGTGTCATTGATGATGTACCAGCAAAATTGGACAGTAAGTGATTAATGAGTCAAATTTTTAAAAGAAAAGTGGTTGTAATTATTTCCTGAGACAACAAATAAGCATGCATTTCATGTAATTGTAAATTGACCATTTACCATTTTATGAACATTCATGGCACAGCAACCGAAAGTTTCCAAGTGCTTCTATCATCCATTCTATGGGCCTCCAGTAAACACATTTACCATTTTATTAATTACAACACGTGTGTGGTTGCAGTGTCCAAGTATTTAACCCCAAATTAGTTTTACTTGAGAAAACTGAGTTACATTTATTTCTTATCTAGGTAGCTTGCTAGCTATTTGTGAAGATTTGTTATAATGATGACTCGATTGGCGCAGTGGTTAATGAACCTCCATCTTGCGCCATAGAGTGTGGACTCAATCCCCGCTACTTGAAGAATATTGTGTTACAAACATAGTGTTTTTACAGTGTCTGGGTGTTTATATATGTATAATATGTATTTATTAACAAATGAAAAGTATGTTATCACTAAAATATGTAGAAAAAAGTACGAAAACGTTGTTACGGTGGTAGAGCCTCGCAGCAGCCTCGGCTGTTGCACGAATGGGCAGGCTCGTCCGGGTAAGTACCACGACCTCACAGAAAAAAAAAAAAAAAAAAAACGAAAAGTTTTTCGCTGTTGTGGGAATCGAACCCTTCGGGATTCGCGCCCAGACGCTTTAGCCACTAAGCTAAATGGCTGATTACCACACCAAAGAAAATCTCAACGTCTTTTATCTACATTTTTTTAGCATTTGAAGCAATGCTTGGCGCATCCATTGTTATGTCCTTTCCAGCATACCATCAAATTTCGAATATCGTTATACAACGATAATTCGAACGAGAGATGTCGCCATTGCTTTTTACAAATTTTTAAATATTTGTATTTCTAATCTCTGCACTAAGAGTGCACATTATAAACATTAAAATTTGTAGAAAAAAGTACGAAATGTTTATCAGTTATCTAGTACCCATAGTACAAGCGTTGCTTAGTTTGGGACTAGAGAATGTTGTGTAATAATGTTCTAAAATATTTATTATGTGTTATTATCATAAACATTAATGAGATCATAAAAGGCGCGTATTTATAGTGGATGGCGATATTAGTTCTAGATACTGCTGGCCAGGAGGAGTTCAGTGCGATGCGCGAGCAGTACATGCGCTCCGGTGAGGGCTTCCTGCTGGTCTTCTCCGTGGCAGACCATGCCAGCTTCGACGAGCTATACAAGTTCCACAAGCAGATACTCCGCGTCAAGGACCGAGATGAGTTCCCCATGCTAATGGTTGGGAACAAGGCCGACCTGGAGCACCAGAGGGTGGTGAGTGGTGAACTTTTGAGTTTTTTTATCCAATTACTGGCCAATGTACGACATAGCCGTGATAGCTCAGCGTCCGGGCGCTCGCCTTTGAATCAATATACTCGAGCGACCTGAGTTGGCATCAATGAAATTGTTGATATGAAGCGCTGATTTATCATGTGCTCAAAGATGAAGGATGGGAAAACAACGTGAGGATACCTCCATATTTTCGAAATGATAACAATAAAAATATTTCGAATAAATTTGAAGTCCGCCAATCCGCAGTGGGGCCGCGTGGTGGACCGTCCCATAATACCCTCTGCACAGAGGAGCTCCTTGCCCAGCAGTGGGATATGTACAGGCTGTTGCTTAACCTCCTCATGTTCCCATCTTTCCTTGTCGAATGTCACCCTCAAGTGTTTGCACGCGGCGCCAGGTGTCGCTCGACGAGGCGCACGCCCTCTCGCGTCAGCTGAAGGTCCCGTACATAGAGTGCAGCGCCAAGGCGCGGATGAACGTGGACCAGGCGTTCCACGAGCTGGTCAGGCTGGTGCGCCGCTTCCAGGAGGCGGAGAGGGTCAACGTCAAGACGGACCACAAGAGCGGCAGGAAGAGGAAATGCACCATCCTGTAACCGGCCACCGTCTGTTCAACTTGGACAATAAAAACGGACACTTCGATATATTCAAATGTAAGATACATTCTATGTCGATGTTTATGAATGTTTTTTTTTTTTTTTTTTTTTTTTTATGGTATCTTTTTGAATCTGTATCTTATGTTTGAATTTTTACGTTAAGCCTTTGGTTCTTTGAGAACTTTGGAACAAAAGTCTTTAGTTCAATTGTATTAACACACTATTGAACACTATCTTTTTTGAGGAAGTTATTTATTTATTTATTGTCTACTCATTTGTATATGTTGTTTTAGAATTTTTATTTGATGGTATACGTTTTATTTGTGCGTTGTTTTCCGTTGAAACATTTCTATATATCCGTTATATTATACATAGTTATTACAGTGTAAAATGTGACAATCAGGGTACAGAAAACGTTTTTATACAGACAGGTTTGTGCTAGCTATAAAGGTATTCTGTTTTCTTCATTACCCAGTGTTGCTATTACCTATAAGTGCTCTGATGCTCTTTTGACAAGGTTTCATTTATATTTCGTAATAATGAAACAGTTTATCCGAATTGTTGAGAATGAATCATTTAATGGATTATACGTTTACCAAATGAATGTTCATGGTTATATGACGAACGATAATTGGTTCTCTCCAAAATTAAAATTTAACGCCTTTGACACGCACTTTTCACAGAACCATATGTTAAAAGCAACGGCTGTTGTACAAAATGTTTTTAACACAATTAGATAAAGTAAAACAAATGTGGTTTATAAAGTTAAATAAGGACAACAATACAAACTATTTCGATTTCATACGGACAACAATTTGGGACATGAAACGCTTTGCTCTCTCGAGGAGCTAACTGGAACTGCCATTATTTTTTTTAATATTAAAAATGGCGCCAAATTAAGGCGGGAAACGTCAGTCTGGCGCCAAAACATTGAGTTGTTTGGCAGCTCATTTAATAACAGATTATAAATATATATTTGTAAGAACTGCATGTCGAAAACCAAATACTAATTCGTATAACTTTGTTATTCTTATGTTATGTTTAGGTTTTTTTTTTAGGTTAGTGCTTAGTTTTTGTAATGATATACGTCAATTGAATAGAATATTGCAATCGACGTTGTTGGAACTACGTAAATAGTGACGAATTAAGAACAAGGTAGAGGCCGTTAATGTCGCGAAATTGTCGTTAATATGAGGTTTTTTCTTATTGGCCGGATTTTATGAGCGTCCTATTCCTTCCTGATATTTCTGACCCCCACTTAATTGTGTTCTGTTGTTGTGAGGCTCCAGAGATTTATGATATTTGGACGACTGGAAACTATTGAACGAAAAGTCTAGTCTTTGTAGAATAATTTGTTAGTTTTCAGTCCCAAGGCCTAATTAAAATCTCAGAACTTTTTACTTTTAAATTACACATCTTTTTGTCAGTCAATATTCTTTTCAATTGAAATTTTACGGTTTACTCACGGGCTCGAAGATTTATTTCCATTCTAGTTTATAATTGATCGAATGGAGCTTTCCGATGACCAAGAAAATGACATTAAAAGAACTTATTAATAATAATCACAAGTTTTATATCGAGAACTTTTTACAATCATCACTAGAACTGAACCATAAACAAAGTGTTTATTTTTTAATGCGTAAGGTTACGTGACGTGATCTAAATCATCTGGGCTCGTGGGTTGTAATTTAATTTTAGAGAAAGATAAATATAGTCTATATTTTTATATTATATTATTGGTTTTTAGGAATTTTTTGCACGCGCCGTATATGTTGATACATGGAAGCGTTTTGATACGATTTTTACAATAATTTTTAATACCTAACAACAGCTTTCACAGTATAGAAGCGACTTCTTTGTACGACATTTGTAACTTTGAAAAATACATTTTTATATCGATTTGAAATAAGTGATGTTTCGGGATGATGTTTTCTAGTTTTTACGCAAGTAACACAACATAAAACGAGATAAAATCCGTAAAGTAATTCAATAATATTGTTTTAAAATATTACTTATGTGGGGCCACTAGGGCGCTTACTAGAAATATCGGAGATTATTATCTAAGTTTACGCACAAACAAGTTTCTTAACTATAACGTAAAATGTTTCAAACCATATCGATTGTGGATACATTGTCCGCCTTGTCATTTTGATTCCCCATCGAGATACATATGTGGTATGTTTGTGTCAACTATGTCGTGACAGGCTTACCGACCTTCTGTCGGTTCTCATATCGTCTTACAATCCTACCATTTATATAGGTTAAAAGTTGTTTCGTATCTTTACCGCTACTATAATGTGCCAATATACGCACAGAAAGCACAAACGAGCAATATTTTTTACATATGAAAATTGTATTATAGCCTTTTTTATACGCATTATTGATATTTCTTTGCATTAATTATTTATCTGTAACGGTTATATGCTTCTAGTGTTAAGGTTAAATTGCGTAACAGTATTGCGTTACGTTGTGAGGTAGGCATTTGTAATAATTAGGTGTTAGCTTACATTGTGTAATAAAATGACTCTGGGAGTTTTGGGTTATTTAGTTTTCTCTCAATGTGTCTTTGGAGCTAATTGTATTATAATTTGCCTAACAGCGCTACTTGTTCTTTTTTTAAATGTATAGACTGTTTATTTATTACCTGTAACCATAGAGATTTGTGACCTTTTTATTGCATAGGGAATTAAAATAATATATTGACTATAAACACAAACAATAAAAGTAACATTTGGCAGTACAATGTGGCGCGTTAAAAATGAAAAATATCTCTATGGTTTTACGCTTGCTATTATTTTGTTGAAGTATACGTTCGGACAGTTAAAGAGCTGATACGGTGATAGATTTCAGTTATTTCTAAATCATCTATTATTTGATGAATGAAGAAATTGTTTACAAAGTGGATATTAAAAAAAATCGGATTAGTTCTTGTTTCCACCGTAGCCAGTGAGTGACATACGTAATTATTTTGTTATTTTGTACCGTCGGGTGCTTACACATGATTAGTCTTAATTTTCGCGCCAACATCACGTCATGTAAAATATATTGTCGTATATTAACCTTGCAAGCGGTTTTCGATCCCTACGCGTGTATACTGTGCGAGATATATAATTTTACGCTTAAAATATTCAGTAACATCACGCACAAAACAGTGAATATTTATTTTGATGCAGAATAGTAGTATAATTTTTTACCGGTTTATGGTTGGAGAAAAGGGTCGGAAGAACTCTCGCCTCCCCTCTGTCTATCGCGTAATATAAGAATTAAGTTTGTTGGATGAAGATAAAACCCTTATTTGATTGGGAAAAGCGATGAATTCAATTGAAGAACAGTCGATATATTAAATCGATTTTATATAAATTTTATATTAATATCGATTAATATACAATTCGATTTTATATTAATCGATCATTAAGCTTTTGCCAATTTGTGGTTAAAACAATAGTAAATCTCGTAGCCTACGAGTATTTGTGGTCAGTCGCTTTAAGCCGTTTCAATCAATGTCTACTGCACAATTTATGATTGTATCGAGAAACAACGCCTGGGATCGACTTCGCAATAAGTTAGAAGAGCTTTAACTTTGAACCGAACGCCCCAGTAACTGACTAAACCATGTTGTAGTCCAGGTAACATTGTATTGTATAATAAAATAACCAACTGAATCTTTGTGTTTTTTTTACCTTCGATGCCAAAAATGTAAAGATGGAGAACGCTCTCGAAATTTAGAGTATAAATTGATGAAATGACATGAATGTATTGCGTTTCAAATAATAGGAACTTCTATGCCTTCGTGTCAACTGCCTTTAACACGTAGAGAAAAATATTTCAAGATAGTTTTATTACTAATACAGGGAATATAATGATAATTGTTTTTTTTTTCATATATTAAATAAAAAGTTTAATAATGATTACTATTATTTAAAAAAAATGTTTTGCTTACCCTACCTGTTTTGAATTGAGAGCTATGACGTCACAAGATGGCGCAAGATCAGTCCTATTCTTATTTGAATCGCATTGTACACGTACAGTATTAAATGAAATATAAGTCTTGATTATACATTACTCGATTGCGACGCCATGGTTTATGAATTGTCTGAATAATGCTTGTGATTATTTATTTATTGCGACGCCATTTGAATTTTTCAATTTTCCCTTTATCATAATGGAGACACTACTATTGGAAATCTGCCGAGTTGATAGACCTTTGCATAAGACCGTGTTTTAAACACTTAAACCCGTAACAAATAAGATCAGCTTTATCGGCGTACTTGCCGGCATTTTGGAATAAACAATTTTAATAGCATTTAAGAGTGATAGATGGACCACGCAACAGTGTTCGCTGTTGCACGAATGGGCAGGTCCGTCCGGGTTAGTACCACTTCCTGACAGAAGACCGGCCTGAAGCAGAAGTGTACACTTCCGCGTTTCGTCTGGTGAGTGAGGTAGCCGGGGCTCACTTTTCAGCACACCGTGGACATTTCCAACACCCGTAGGGGTGTTGCAAATGCCCACGGGCGATGGCACTTAATATCAGATGAACCGCCAGCTCGGGTGAAATAGGGTGATTTAAATGTTATTCGGATTAAAAATAAAACTGCAGTGGATTATGAAATTTTATATTGCCACAGATCGTGCGAACATATTCTCGGTTTCACAAATTGTAACCTGTATATGTATATTACTTATAATTAAAGCTTGTAAGTCGTAACACTATAATACTTAGATGTAAGTAGTGAGAGCATTTAATTTATTTAAATTAAGTACTTTACAGTAGTACTGTTGAAGCCTTGTTATTTAGCAACCTCGATAGAATCAGCGTAGAAGTCAAGTTATGTCAATACGTCTGGATTGATACAATTAATGCTTTATTGTGGGTATTATTTCACATATTCAATACCAGACATTGGACTAACGCATTATACATTATATTATTTATATGTGTTAATTTTTTTAATAAGTGGAAAACAACGAATATTTAATTTTAATATTATTTTACGGTTTTTAATGTTATTTGACAGTGCGCCAGATTTTTAATGGATTAAAGAAGCAATAAATTATAAGTGTCACACCGGATAATTATTTCATATGACGTGATATCACACAATAAATTATAACAACTTGTTTAATTATGTCGTATAATTAATTGTTTAAGAATATATATTATATTCATTGGCATAATTATCGAAAACCGCCAAAACAGCAAAAAAGAAGAATAAATTATAACTTTACTAGCTGATTGCTTGTTTAACACTTACGTACATGCAAACTCGTGACCATAATAAGATTTCTGATCAACAAAACCCAACTACGTTTCAAATACAATACATTACGCGGTGATTTAATTCACACTATAAATAGTATCGCTAAGTCATAGAGTCTATCACAACCAAGACGGCAACTAATTGACGTTGGACGCGACCTATAAAGGCGGCAAGTGGACCGATGAAGATTAGTCTTCATCAGGAATCATGAAGACTAGGCTTAGGCCTTGCCCAGCATCTTCTCCTGGAGCCAGGGCACGAAATGCGTGACCCTCGTGTAGACTCCCGGGAAACCGGCCTCCGCGCACCGCTTCCCGTAAGACACCACGCCGATTTGGTAGAAGTGCGTCGTAAACTTTTTCGAGTTCCACTGAAAAATGTCAATGGCGTCGTCATTTCTGGCGGTGACTACGGAACGCTTTGGATATACCTAAATGAATAAATATTTTTCACGTCATCTAGTGTTAGCTCCGTTTCCGGGCGCCCGCCCTTCATGCAATTTACTCGTGCAACCTGAGTTCGATCCCGGTGCCGGCATCAATGAAATTGTTCATTTTAAGTGCCTAATTATCACGTGCTCAGCGGTGAAGGAAAACATCGTGAGGAAACCTGCATATTTTCGAAGTAATAATAAAAAAAATATTTCGAATATATGTGAAGTCCGCCAATCCGCAGTGGGGCCTCGTGGTGGACTATGCCCTGATACCCTCTGTACAGAGGAGGCCAGCAGTGGGACATGTATAGGCTGATACTTTACTTCTTTGATTTCTACAAGTTATTTAGCTGTAAGGAATTATATTTAATTAATATGAAACTGACGGACAATATGACAGACGAGATTGAATGTTTAAACCGTTTCGTTGCTATTTAAAAAAAAAATCTTACGATCGGCTGCATGAGGGGCCCGCCGCTGTCGCCTTGGCAGGCGTCCTTGCCGCCATTCTTGTACCCCGCGCACAGCACGCGCTCGTCGATCGTCTGCGCCTTGTACTGCGTGTACGCTTGCGCGCACTGCTCGTTGGTGACCACCGGCAGTTGCAGCGCTTGCAGGTGGGTGGCGGCCGGACCGCCTTGTGGTAATCAGGTCAATAAACTTCGTCAACACGATGACGCGGTGGCGCCGTCGCTAATCTATCGGCTTCAGCGTCCGGGGTCGTGGGTTCGATTACCACACGGGACAAGTGTTTGTGTGACCAACAGATAATTGTTCCTGATCTGGGTGTTTGTTTTCAAAGCGGAGTTGACGTCAAGTAGGCGGCCGGTCGTAAAAAAACATAGCCAAAACCGCTTACAACGTGATTCATATGTGCGAACGGTCCCACCTAGGTTGGATAAGGACAGGAGGATGATGATGAAGCTTTGGTAACAACACGTATTTCACTAGAGGTTTACCAAGAACCGTTGTACAACTACCAGCTGCCGCCGGCGGTCTTTCCGAACCGTTACGACCTGGGAACCTTCAAGAAGAGAGCGTACTCATTCCTAAAACGCTATAGAGAACGGTGATCATACATCAAGCCTCCTGCTCGTTTGCTGCTTTTTTCCCATAAAAAAAAAAAAAAAAACTATAGAGAACGGGAATACAAACATGCTTAGAAAACGTTTAGTAAAATCACAATCAATAAAAAATAGTAAAATCAGAAGTAAAATCTAAAGAATAATCGAGGTCGATTTTGATACAGTTATTAGACTAACAAGACATTCACATTTAACTATAATCTTACAAGGCGCAATGTTTGCAATCTGACTCATAAACCACATTTAAAAATTACATCTTGAGTAAAGATAAGATAAAAAAAAAAAAAACAATCCAAAATGCCAAGTTTTTAATATTAAGTGATGATCCTGGAGAGTCGAGGTCCTGGAGATCGTAAATATGCAATTATTGTATTGTTCCCGTGTCTTTATTTATATGCAAAATATTGCAATAAAATAGTAAAGTAATAAAGAGAGGATTAAATAAAAGGATTATATAAATCAACAGACGTTTAGTTCTGTGCTATTAGTCAAAATTTTAGTAATAATCAAGCAAGGGCGGATCCAGCTTTGGTTCCAGGGGGGTCACGTATTCGGTCTAGTGTATGTTCGTGTGTTTTCTATAAGAAGATATAATTTAATTTTTAACCGACTTCGAAAAAGGAGGAGGTTTCTCAATTCGACCGTATATATATATATATATATATTTTTATGTGTCTTCGTGGATAACTTCGTCGTATATGAACCGATTTTGATGATTCTTTTTTTGTCGGAAAGTAGATATCCCAATGGTTGTACTATGATAAGGAAATCCGGATCTGATGATGGCATTTACAAGAAATCGAGGGCCATTATTGAATGTTATAGGTATTAACAATGTTTTTAATTTTTTGATTGAAGCCGGTTTTTTTTTGTTAAAAATTATACTTGTTATAATCATAGATACAAGTAAAAAGTAGGTATTTTTAAACGACTTTAAAAAGATGGAGGTTATCAATTCGGATGTTTATATTTTTTTATGTATGTTCGGGCATAACTTCGTCATATATAGACGGATTTGCAAAATTCTTTTTTTGTTCGTAACAATTCGTTGCTTTTTATTATCATATATTATACAGGATGGCTTTTATAAAGGTGCCCAAATTCACACAGGAGGTTCAAATTCGGTAGTAACCGTTTATTGAAATAAAAACAAAGGTTTTTTTTTTTTTAAATAATTGGCATTCTATTGCCTAAAAAACAGACAATGCGTTAGTCATTCATAAATGCGTCGTATACTTTTGAAAAGAACTTGTGTGCGTGTAGTTATGAATGATCGCGCGTAAAATAAATGAGTTGCCCATAAATCACTCACTTTCTGAGATAAGTTCAAATGAATGTAATTGATTAATTACGAGTGGTTTTAAATATTTATCATTTTTATATAACTTTATTTATGTCTAATATATATGTAATGGTAGACTTACTTATTTTTGAAATTTCTTTTTATTTATTTCTCTTTATTTTATTTCTGACAACCCGATTGGCGTGGGGAGTAGTGACCATGCCTCTTGCGCCAGAGGGTGTGGAAAAATATTGTGTGATGAACATAGTGTTTTTCCAGTGTCTGGGTGTTTTCATACGTATAATATGTATTTATTTCCAAAAAAAAAAAACATCCACTTCAATGACAAGTAGCCTAAGACGGGATTATCGGGACACGGGTTAATAATAATATATAATCAACCCAAATGAAAACTCCTAAAATAGCCGTACACAAACTAAAAATTTCATCGTCCACGTTAAAGAAATTTTCATAAAGAACAAAAAAATATTTATTCAGTCATTCATTCATAATATTCAGCGCTCATCCATCTAATCCATCTAATCACAGACAGAATCCACATTCATAACAAACGGAACGAACAAACTTTATTTCCCAAAGACGGGGTCGCATACTCACGTCCACTAAACCACCACCTCTCACCACACGAATTACGACGAATCCATTACAACACATTAAGACGAATCAAACTCGACGCAGTTGTGTTCCTTAATTACTGAGTTCCTATGACCACATTCCAGCTCTGTCATTAGACCCTGGATACCATCTAGCACTAAAGAACTCGTCATGACGAATCAAACGAGCCGAGACACAATAGGGTTGGGTCGTTTCTTTACTGAGTTCATATGACTATCTTCCAGCTCCATCATCAGATCAGACCCTGGTAACCATCTAAAAATTTAGTACTCGCCAAGACGAATCAAACGAGCCGAAAATTGATGGGGTTGAGTCGTTTCATTACAGAGTGGTTATAGGAATCTCACAGAATAGACCTCACAGAAGTTCGGCGTAAAGTATTTCTGCGTTTTGTCTGGTGAGTGAGGTAGCCGGAGACCACTTTATTGTAAGGAGAAAACGCATCTGCAACCCTATGCATATGTCCATGGATGGCTGAAGATGGAGCTGCATCATAAGATCCTGGTTACCTATGAAAGACAAACTACTCGTCAATACGGTTCAAATGTACCCAAACGCGATGAGGCTCTGGCTCATTGCGAAGTTCCTTTGACCACCTTCCAGCTCCATCATCAGATCAGCACCATGTCATAAAAATATCTACAAAATTTCAGCTCAACCGGTAACCGGGAAGTAGATCAAATTTAATTTGCAAGATTTGATGATAAACATTAAAATATTGTAAAAATGTTCACAAAATGAAAACTACTTGGCCAAACAATGGTAAATTTTTATGGGACCAAATGGCAACTATTCTGCATCAAACTAAAGAAGAATCACGTAAATCGGATCAAAAATCGATACATGAATCGAAAAAAAAAATATACCAATCGATTTGAGAAACTCCTCCTTTTAAAGTCGGTTGGTAAAAAATATATAAAAATATTATGTTTAACAATTTTAATTAGTGGTCCACCTAGGTTCTAGACCCAGCAAAGGGGGGGGGGGTCATGACCCCCATGACCCTCCCCCTGGATCCGCCCTTGTAATCAAGACTGCTAACTACTAAGTGACGAGTATGTGCAGCTTTACTTACGAAATTCCGTGTCTCCCCAACCAGCGATTATGGGGTTATAGTCAACGTAACTCCTCGCTCTCAGCTCAGAGTCCACTGGGATGCAGATGGGCCGGATTAGAGCTGTGAAGCAACAGTGTAATGTAAGAATTAAGAAACTCTCAAGTAGCAAAAACTTGATAGAAAGACAACGCTGGCTATTGAAAATTTCTTCTTTTTAAAGTTCGAACTTAGCTTCTAATAATAGCTCTCAGACAGTTCAGGATACATTACATGCCACTGAACAAGTTTAGTTAGGTACTTAATGAAGAATAACTTCAGCAAAGAAACTTCTGATAAGATGTCAATCATATATTAACAGAATATGTGAAGCAGTTAAACTTATGGAATAAAGTCAATACTTTATTCCATAAATAAGTTTAAATTTATTTGATGTAGGGACATTGCATCGTATATCGTCTATACCCAGCTTCAAGGTTACTCATTGTTCATATTACTAAACAATTACGTTCTCTTTGAAAATGGAGAAATGTAGTATTGAAATGAATAATTTAGAAATATACCTGCTTTTGTTATGTGTCAGTTATGAGATCTTATTAAATTCACAAATTGGCCAGTGCTTGACTAACATGACATATAATGGTAATTAAAAAATTTATCTTCGATGGTAAACGCTCAGTAAAAGCCTATCCACTCTTGTATTGAAGTCACTTTTACCCGTCTGTATAATAATGTTTAATAATATAGACGAAGCATGTCCATACTGCGTGGCGTTTAAAAATTGTTCCGCTTTACATTATATGTCATATATAAGTGAATGTGACAGATGATATGGAAAGAGATAAGTCTATAAAATTACATTCTAACTACACCAATTGGTGTAATTTGACTGCCTCAATTTCTGCACGCGAACGTTATATCTTTGTACGTGTATATAATATCATTGCGTCTGTAGGAGGTAGCTGTCATCTAAAATTACCCGTGAAACTGATTTCGCGTTCGAGCACCAATATTCCGATGTCGTTGGTGAACGCCTTGGGGCTGTATTCCTCGTGCTTGATCTTCCTCTTTATGAGGACATCCACCGGGGTGGCGCCGTCGTCGTCCCGCGCTAGGTCCAGCTCTCCTACGCGCACCAGATATCTGGGGACAAAGCACGCGTTACCGTCTATCGTAAAGACTAAGTCCGGAAGCCGTTGGGAAGTGAAAGTGTTATCCGTTGGCTTTTCGTCTGATGAGAGAAGTAGCCCATTCTTTTAAAGGTTGTTTTTTTAATTAAGAAATGTTAACCTCCGTTTGTTTGTTGCGTTGCGTTTCCACCTTTTAATAAAGTAGGCCCAGTGCCGCATAAACCACGTAGCAAGAGTAGCGATTGCCAAAAGACGAGAGCAGAAGACATCAGAGATTTTGAGAAGAACGTCTGTTTGTAACGTCTGCTTGTAGTCTCTGATTGATTTTGACGAGTATTAAGAACTCATCGCAGATTATTACATGAAATCTAAATATGTACGTATGAATATTGATATCTTGTTGTAAATTAAACCTATCATTGCTCGTTAAGATTGGGGTAATACAGCGAATATAATATTGCGTAAAAACTAGATAACAGTGCAGTACATAACAAAAATTATTTATATTTTGAATATAATTATCGCCAAGGTTATAAAGATTAAAAGCAACAGCTTTTTTAGTTAATATTTTAGCTTCAAATAAAGCTATTTACCGCATTTACTGCCCAGATAGTTTGAAATGTCGCCTCGGCAAACGTACAAGTGCGCTGTGATGTCGATTTTATTCTTAGGCTAGACAAAAATATGCGATTGGATGTTTAGAGTATGTAAATTTGTTTACAAAAAATTCAAAGTCAATTTCGAACTATTTTTATTAACGAAAAATAAAACCCACTTCAAATATCTCGCTCTGTATTGTTAAAATGAATTATAAAATATAATTGATTTTCAGGAGTTCCCTAAATATCTCCGGAGACCAAGATACAATACCAATGAAATTAATATGAGACCGCGTGGGAATCACCAGCTTTCTAATAAATAAAAAATCGGTTCACCCCGTCGAAAGTTATGTGGTAACAAATATAAAAAAAATACAGTCCAATTGAGAACCTCCTTCTCTTTTGAAGTCGGTTGGAAAAGAGAGTAATTATTCTTTCATGTTGTTTTTATAAAAAAAAAAATACTGCTTGAAACATAAAACATGTAGTCCGGACGTAGGAACACGCGGGCATTTTTGCGCTTACCTCGAGCCTAGAGCCGGTATAACCGAGGTCTGACTGCTGAGACAACGAGGACTCATATTCATTCATTGACACGGGAATGACCGCCATGTGATTCTGACAAATGGCTTGTTATGGCCATTCGCTTTGTGGTCCATTGTCCAAATACACGATTTCGTGTGGGAAGGACGCTTTACTACCAATTAAAAGGTCGTGCAACGTCAACCGACATTGGCGCATATCGGAAAACAATGATGAAATATTTTTGTAACATGAACATGAAAAACTAAAATGGCGACGTTCAGAAACGTTGAAGAAAAAAGATATAAGCACGTTTGAAAGTAAATGAACGTGGACGTTGGAAAGTAGACGCCTTTACCAAAATTATTTGTTTTATATAGCACTAGCGACCCGCCCCGGCTTCGCATGGGTGCAATGTATATATTGAATTTCTTGGATTTTCTCTACTATATATGGCTACACTAGCATGGCTTGCTAAGCTTAATTTAGTTTAGCTATTTCTATCGCATGCTTCAGTAGATATGAAGGCTATTGTATCTGTAATTAAAGATGTGTTTAGGTCTGTTTATCGAACTTTTGCGATGTTAAAACAAACAAGAGATATAAAGCAACGATGAACAACCCAACACTTGAGGGATATGAGGAAGACTTGCGGCATCTAGTGAGGCGTCCAAAGCGTAAATTTTCCTGTCATTCATATATCTAATCAAGTAGCAGAAGCCCTTTACGCGTGTTACCAAAGTCAACGATTTCATCAAGGTCCTTGAGTAAAGCAGCAATAAAAAGAGACTCCGTGAAGAGGGCCGATCGAACGAAGGTTAACAAGTCCGCTGTAATAAAACGAGTTATACATGTGCGGTGTATAGCTGTTGAATATTCATACCGCCGTAGACACGAGAACTGTTACGACCGCTAATTGAATGGAGTTTACAGAGATGTGACAGATTTCGTACGAGCCTGATTAAGATAATGGCCTATTGTAAGTAAACCTATTGGACCTATTACAGATATTTGTATCTTATGTTATCAAAAATATTGCTATTGACGCACTAAATATTGCATGTGAATTTAGTTGGGGAGGAAAGGTGCTCGAGTGGCAGCCTTGTACTGGCCAACAGTGTAGGACCACCCGCTAGGTGGAGTGAGGACCAGTGCAAATGTGCGGGAGGTCGATGGATGCAGGTGGCTCAGGATCGTACTTCGTGGCAGTCTATGGGGGCTGAACATGTCAGCAGTGGACTCAAACAGGCTGACATGTTGATGACGATGAACTAAGAAATGATGATGACGGTGATGATGACCTGAGATTATGTATCTTTATGCCTGTTAATAATTTAGGACTTTTGGAGATTACAAAAGACAGCTCGAATAAAGTTATCATTTTGTTATTAGTTTCTTTAATTCATTGGGGAGCTTTCGCGGATTTGATTAACAATTTTGCTCTAATGCGTCACTAATGCAAAATGGCCGTCCATAAACTTCAGTGCAAAAACATAATATATTGGAAAACAGTTTCTTGTTTAGTTTTATAGATACGTAAGCAAAAGGCTGCTTTTTTATATGAAAAATTGGCAAACGAGCAAGCGGTTCACCTGATGTTAAGGTATTACCGCGGCTCATAGACAATTTCAACACCTGACGAATTGGAGATGCGTTGCCAACCTTTAAAAAAACGGGCCCACTTTACCTATACCAACAGAAGAAACGCGAACGTCTTATACTTCAACTTCTCGTATGTCTTCTGCGAGGCGGGGTTCTTCCCCGGATGATACGAGCACCAGCAGAAGCCGAATGAATGTCTCAAAGTATGATGATCAGATGTTAAAGAAGAACACAACAGTGGTAGGGCCACGCAACAGTGTTCGCTGTTGCACGAATGGGCAGGTCCGTCCGGGTTAGTACCACGACCTCACAGAAGACCGGCGTAAAGTAGAAGAGTTGCACTTCTGCGTTTCGTCTGGTGCGTGAGGTAGCCGGGGCCCACATTATTAAGAGGTGGCAACGCATCTGCAACCCTGCGGGTGTTGCAAATGTCCATGGGCAGTCGGTTAACACTTAACATCAGGTGAACCACCAGCTCGTTTGCCCATTTGTCACATAAAAAAAAACAATGCTTTCATGAGTTAAAATTGTGGCAGAGCCACGCAACAGTTTTCGCTGTTGTACAAAAGCCTGGTCCTTCTGGGGAAGTACCACGACCTCGCAGAAGACCGGCGTTGGAAGTTATACTTCCGTGTTCCGTCCGGTGGCCACCGGAGTTAGGTGTGGCCGACTTTATTAAAAGGCATGTAACTGGTGATTTCATCACTGTCGAAATTGTTGTTTTTCTGAAAACTAGTCTGCGTGTTATATAAACCTATGCCTTTTTGAAAGGACGAATGAAAAAATTAAGTTCATTTGTTCTTGTCATTTGAGATTGCCACCGGTTCGAATTGACATTGGATAAATTAGTTTAGTGGATCCATTATCTTCGACTGGTAATTTCTCGGATTCGTTCATGCCAATGGTTTTTTTTATATACGTATTCCGTTTTCTTATCAATCTGCTTAACGTTAGAAGCAGCAACGCGTCTGCAACCCTAACGGCCGGTTTCTGAAACGCTGATCGTCGTAGATGTCAACTAATCAGCTGTCAAACGGTTTTCAAATTTCATTTTAGTTGCCAAAAGGATGGTTAAACTCTTTGGATTGATCCTTCTGATCATTAGAAGATCATTCTGGTCAATTCAGAGAGTTAAACCGTCCTTTTGGCAACTAAAATGAAATTTGAAAAGCCATTTGACGGCTGATTAGTTGACATTTACGATGATCAGTGTTTCAGAAACCGGCCGTCAGGGTGTTGCAAATCTTTTTTTGTGGGAGAAGAACTTACGCAACGTGAATAATAATATACTCATCTTTCATAACCTTGCATGTGTTACCACGTTGCCCTTAAGTGTCGAGACGACATTACGTAAATACTACAAGTGGTCAACCGCTTTGAGCGCGTGCGCGTAAAACTGGTTAACCTAGTGGCTTTGCGGTTGAAGTCGTCTCATTTCCGATTTTCGAAATGAACTTAAAGCCTTTACAAGGCGGACGATATGCCTCTTTAGTGCATGTTGCCATTGTTTCCGCTACTGGAGAAATAACGCGCGCATTTCTGACGTTTCTAGTTGTTTTCTTTTTTAAGTTATGCTTCTTTTGGGCTGTTTGAGAACAGTTGAGATGAGAAATGATGACAGTGAATTTTTATGATGTGCGACAACCAGCGAAAAACTTCATGGTGTTACTATGGCTACCAATAACGGCTATATCTATCTTCTATATACATATATAAGAGATTTCCACGGATAATTGACTCATCACGATATCTCTGGGACCATACGGCGTAGAGACTTTTAATTTGGTAGGAATATTCCTTTCGCCGAGTAGAGGTCAGCTAAGAACGGATTTTACGAAATGTTACCTTTTGGGTCCGCCAGTTATTTATATAACAATTATAACTAGAACTACAACTTATTTAATCAAACCACTATCAATTCCGCTTAATGCCTTTTTTCGCCAATAAAGAGTACTGGCACGCGGGATAAAATTTTTAGTATTTTTTTTTGTTACGATAAGACGTTTTTTCATAATCCTTTGTCATGGAAGCGTCTACATGCAAACATTATTCATAAACATAATATTCCGGATCCTAAATAATTATTGGCATAGTAGAATAATTATCGGACCTACTGAACCGCGCGAAAATAGAATGTCCCGTCCGGTGCGTTAAAACCAACCGATTACTTACTGCGCTAAATAGGGAAGAGCCATCTCTTACGAATAAGTAGAGATGAGACGTAAATAGATGTGTTGACGTAACTGCAATGAAAGCAATTCTTAGCATCACGAGTTATTTTATTTATTTTTATTTTCGGGAAACATACAGATAAAGAAAGGTTAATTAATAAGGTTTTGATAAATACAGAACATTTAAAAATAAGCCAATGACATGTTTTCATTTTATATATAGAGTACCTACCTAATAATAAAACTTGTGGTAATACAAATAAATTTGGATATAAGAAGTCGTGCATATGTGCGGGAACTCGGTGGATGCAGGTAGATTACTTCGTGGCAGTTTATGGGAGAGGATGTTCAGCAGTGGACTCAAACATGCTGAAATTATGATGCTAATGATGAAGAAGTCGTTAAAAAGAAAAAAAGAAAGAGTACGATAATAATAACAGGTGAATAAGAAGACAACATGGCGATAGCATTAGTAGTCAGTTAATAATTTCTAGAGACATCTCTAGAAACTATTAACTGACAACATTTCTGAGATCATTTTATAAGTGATATGTTTTGACATAATTACAAAATAATTGTGAGCCACTACGATGATTAATGTTACACACATAGCGTTATATAACGATATATTTACTATTGCATTAAGATTAAGTACTTAGAGTAATGTTGCAGCAATTTATCAAACATGGACGTATAACGATTTGTTTTGCAATTACCACGTCGTTTGTTTTAGTTAATGGCGATTCATTCGTTATTTTTCCATTCGATTATCCAAATTGAATATCGGACGATGTAAACAAAAGCACAACTATAAGAAAAATTCTATAGAGCTAATCTCTGCACTTAAGTTAGATCATTAAAATCATGTAGATACAAATGAACGATAAGTTTTTCGCCGCTGCAGTAATGTAACGGTGGTAGGGCCACGCAGCAGCCTCGGCTGTTGCACGAATGGGCAGGCCCGTCCGGGTAAGTACTACGACCTCACAGAAGAGCGACGAAAAGTGGAAGTATGACAAATACTTTCGCGCTTCGTCTGGCGAGTGAGGTTGCCGGAGCCCAATTTTCAAAGGTTGTCAACGCATCTGTAACCCTCGGGTGTGGCAGATGTCCATGGGCGGCGGTGTTCACTTAACATCAGGTCCGTACCGTCCGTGCCGTCTGCTCGTTTGACAAATTTTCGCATAAAAAAAAATCGAAACCACTAACCTAAATTACTGATTACTACACCGACGAAAATCTCAATAATTTATCTACATTGTTTTTCCCCATTGTAAGCAGTGTTCTATTGTTTAAAGCATTAATACCCGTTTTCACTATCGATCCCTGACTTTAAGGGACACTTAAAAAGTTTCGTTTTCACCACCGCTTAAGTGTCACCTGAAGTTTAAAAAAAAACATATTTCTTCATCGTCACCATCATCATTTCAGCTTGTTCGAGACCACAGCCTGTAGGCCTCCCCCCACAAAGACATAATAATATTAATTCTGCTCTATTCTCTGAGAGCACGTAATACATTTTCATATAGTCCCGTCTAGTTCCGTCTTCTTACGGATAAATTTAAACTGCATTAGTGTACCACAGCACAATCTTGAACATCGTTACATCGAATATCTCAGTCCTTAATATTGTGTGCATTGAATATTTTATCGAATGACGCAATTGCTCTGCTATCACAGTTTCAACGCTCGTGGTCTGCATCTTAACGTTAAGAAGGCAGAGTCTATTAATAGTCCCGAACAAACTTACATGATTTATCATTCACGGGGTAGCTAGAGATACTTAATGCGACCAACAGTTTAAGCGCATCGGGTACGGAATCTTGGAAAAGTTATCTCCGACAGATTGTATGATATTTATGTGATAATGACGCTTCTAGAAATACCTAGAGCTCTTTATGTAGATACAGATAATGCGTGATATTTATACGATAATTATGGTTCTAGAAATTTCTAGAGCTTTCGTATAGATCGCACTTACAGGTCATCCTCGTGGCCGTGTATGCAGTGGGCGGCGGTCAGCACGTGCTTGCTGCTGACTAGGGAGCCTCCACAGAGCCAGCGCGTCCCCTGCTTGCGGCGACCCTGGTAGCCCAGCAACGCTACCCAGGGGAAGTCACCTGCAACAGCATTTTATGAACCGCGTTCTTAGCTGAAAACTATCTCTTACAATGTAACTACAAATTCTATCCATGTGGAACTCCTAACCTGATAATGACCGATTCATCTTTACCCGACTTCGGTGAAACTATAAAAGGAGGGTTATGTGTTTGACCCGTGTATGTATGTCCTTTCGCATGTTCCCTTGTGACTATAAAGCAGTTAAAGCCCAAATAAAAGTAACAAACGTAGAGTAACGGCTTATTATATGTCCCACTACTGAGCAAAGACCTCCTTTGTACTGAGGGTATTAGAGGCTATTAATATCTATACAACATATTAAAATCCGCTTGAAATAACTTAAGCCCAGTTTATGAAACAATGATCATCGTAGAAGTTAACTAATCAGCTGTCAAATGGCTTGTCAAATGTTATTTGAGTTGCCAAAAGGTTTGGTAAACTCTTTAAATTGACCATTCTGATCATTAAGAGGATCAACTACTAAGATGATCAGTGTTTCAAAAACCGGGCGTTAGAGTGACCAATTTAGTTCCAGAGTGTGTGACCATTACACATATATAATATATACAGTAATCATAAATAATAAATATATACCGTCCAATAATCAGTAATAATAGTATTTAACACGCAAACGTTACTCACACACACACAAAAACACGCGCGCGCGCGCGCACAACACATAAACATTGCATAAACTTAAAAAAAATGTAAATTTTTGTCACTTCTTTAATGGCTAAATATTTTTGTGAATTGTATTTTGTAATGTAATAATAGTATGCTGTGAAGATTCCGAATAAAACAAAACAAAAAATAAAATAAAAATAATTAACTAACCTAACTTGGCATCAACTCCCCCCACCACTCTCGTGAAGGAGGCGTTGCTCACCCCGCACTGGGGGGGCTCTGGCAACGAGTCTACGTAATCCCCATCGGTCAGGGACTTCGCTGACGGGCGCGGGGGCTCCGTCGTCGTCTCGGGAGCTTCGGTCGCCACTTCTGTGGGCGGAATGGTCGGGATCCCCGGCCGCGGGCAGCAAACCTGGCGGTTAATTCTGCTGTTTGATGTGCACATCTAATGCCTGTCGCAAAAGGAGAGGCCAAAAATAGTAGAACTTCTTTCTCTTTCTCTTCGCCTTGTTGCACTGGAAACTACGAAACATTTCCTTCTCTTCAACTTTCCTCTTCTTTTTTTTTAAACATTGCCCTTACTGTAGGATATAATTATCTTGTGTTGTAAGTTTACAAACATAAATTTCACGTGGACAAACTTCCAGAACCGAAACAGTTATCTGTGGGTCACACAAATACTTGTCCCCTGTGAGAATCGAACCCAAGACCAATGGCTCCCAAGCCAATACTTTGACAACTGCGCCACGGAGTCATTAGGTCATCGTTTATCAGCCATCATCTCAATACTCAACTCGTTCACAGACATTCCTCATGCAGTCCGTCCAAATCTTCTTCCCGGTCTTCCTTCATACAACCTCCAACTAAACGCTAAAGTATAATTACTTATTCCTTAAGCCGGTCTTTTATTAGGCTATCGTCACCGGTAGTGCCGACCCGTTCAAAAAAGTTTTAAGCTTGTAGTTAGACATAAACGTGTAAGTGCTTGGAAATATTAATGAAAGGTTTTTTATTTATTATATGTACCTATATTTTAATATTATCTTCGTAAATAATAGACAACACGTAATTTTTCTCGGTAGATGGATTAGTATAGAGAAAGTTTTGAACGTGCGTGGTGAAAACTACTGAAATAAATGTATTTACGTAAACATACTACATTGGATGTTGTAATTTGAATTTTTAATATAAAACTACAAAAAGACAAACTTCTAAATTAACTGTTAATTACCTAGTTAAACCGAAAGAGCGTTGTAGATTAAGGAAAACAGATGCACTATTAATGTTTCACAGATTAAAAATAACCACCGATCTCATCGAAAGGTCACTGAGTTAAAAACTTACCCGCGTTTCATTAGTATGCGGACACGGTGCATAAGATGCGAGCAAACGGAATCAACAGCCACCGATAAACGCTTTGAATTCGTCGAGCGTAGTGACCACGACACGGACAGTTTTACTTTTAAAGGATTTGTAATGGACCAGATCGTTTGATAATTTTTATTACTTTGTTACTTTAAATTTTAAAGCGTCGCTTGATGGCTCAGCGGCGCAGTTTTTAAGCTATTGGCTGCATCGCTCGACTTTGTGTTGGCGCTGGCAACACTGTATACCGGATATGACGTTATCTACTCGAGCCAAGGGGACACATGGTCGCACGGAGCAGTGGTCACTTGGATTTCGGCTGCGTTCCCGGACGGTGATATATCCACTAGTGCTGCTTGCCGTTATAATAGTTGTTCATATTCAAGTTCAGTAATAGCTAAAATATTAGTATCAAGGTAAAAACGTTAGAACTCTTATATTTTTGGCTTCGATTCATCTTTCCAAACCCTACTTTAGTTGCCAGTTAGACGGCTGGTCGTAAAAAACAGCCAAGTGCGCGTCATGTCAATGGGCGGCGGTTATCACTTAGCATTAGGTGAACCGCCAGCTCGTTTGCCACTTTCTCACATTAAAAACTTAATATGTAACTTGTGTTATAAGCGAGGAGGCAACTTAAATAGCACAATACTTGTTATTGATAAGGTTGTAAAGGAGCTCAATGGTAAATGACCGCTGCCCATCGACAATAACAACATAACAGAATCTGTAAATGGAGCCTTTGAGGGGGAAATAGGATCTCTTAGTGTTTTTTGACAATAAATAATTAAGTGTAAATCTTCTATATTGAATAAAGGTATGAATTTGAACTTCTTTCCTTTTATCTCTTCTATGACGTCACTGAACTTATCAGCAGGAGACTTACTTTTGGGTTGCTGCCGTCGAAACCGCAGTGCGCCTTCCGCAGGATCTGCACGACGGACGGGTTCGTCTGCGACTGCTGCAAAAGTTTCAGGTACGGCTCGCACTGGTTCACCACTATGCAGCTGCCACTGCCGCCGTCGACCGTCTCACAGGACTCCACTAAAACCAGTTACGAGAATTGACTAATTGCGTAACTACGTCAAGATCAGTTTCAGTATATAATAAAGTACTCTGTGGTCAAGATTAACGACGATCGATTTGCACAGATAATAAATTGTTGTTAATTTGTACAGATACATTAGTGGATACAGATATACATTATTATGCTAGTATATACACATTATCAGGTTAAGTGTTACCATTCACAGATATGATATAATATGTTATAGGATTATTGCGTTAATTAGTTAATATTTTTGATGCTTTGGATAGTGTTTGATATGTAGTTAAGGTTATGAAACTGACAATTGTTGCCAAGGTAAGACATTTGGTTGTTCTCTGCACTGTCTTTCCACTCCATATAACACAGATTATAACTGTGGTAGGGCCAAGCAACAGTCTTCACTGTTTCACGAATGGACAGGTCCGACCTGGTAAGTACTACCACCTCACAGAAGAGCGACGTAAAGTGGAAGTATGACAAATACTTTCGCGTTCCACCTGGTGAGTGCGGTAGCCGGAGTCCAATTTTCAAAAGGTTGTCAACGCATCTGTAACCCTCGGGTGTGGCATCAGGTGAACGGCCAGATCGTTTGCCACCTTCTGATATAAAAAAAGGAAGATTTGTTCAGGCTGTATTAACCACTATAGATTTCATTTTATCATTCCTGGCAAATCACATCAGCGTACAGACATACGGTAAGGCCAATCTTAGAAAATCCACTTGGCAATGAGGATTGTACATACTCTGTTGGAGCTCTTTGAAAGTGCCTTAATAAAATTTGAGACACTTCAATTGAATTGCAGCAGGAAGCTGGTGAACTCGAGCTCTCGTTAATTCGTAATTAAAGGATTGTTAACACACGATGAGTTGACACGCGTTTAATTATTAATTATTGCTGTTCTTACTTGGACTTTCATTTGTGTCTAAGCAAAATTCATTTGTAGTTATACATCATTATACCTAAACTAGCGTTATGATTTCGCATACAGACACCATATTATATGCACGTAATTTTTTTGCGAGGCAGAGATTTGATGCGAAAAAGGGTGCAATCTAAATGGTACAAACCACTTTAATCCGTGGCCTTACATTGTAAATTGATGTGCCGCTCATGCGTGACTATAAATACAAAATGGTTTCCAAAAGGATTTCGCCTCCTTAATATTTAGTGCCTATTGCTTATGACGTCATACGCGCAATTGTTTAAACGATTAAGTGGTGGAACAATATTAAACAACTACAGAACATAAAATGACGCAAACTGACCTGAGATTGTGAAATTAAACGTATGTTAATACTGTCATGAAATCTTTCCTATTGCCATCTTGTCTATATCTGTGATTGATTTGATGTTGAAATATTGAGATGTTGAAAACTAAGTTTGTCACTCTGTTTTTCATGCTTGCTCCTTAAATAGTTGACTTCGAATAACAAGATCGACATCTATTTCCTAAAGTCAACTGCCCCGTTAAGTCGACCAATACAGGTCTTGCATCTTAACTGTACAACGAAAGTAAATATATCGCGAAAATATAAGAAGAACAAATAATTACGAAACGGTACGACAGGCGGTTCTATTAGCAGTTGTAGTGTTGCCATAAACGAACATTTTCCTATCTGTTTACACGTAAACCTTTTTAATATTTTACACTTATTTTTTTACAAGCACCAACGCTATGATAATGGCCAGCATATGGAATTTTCCGGTTTTACTGGTTTAATGACTTTATAAAACTGATATTTACCGTATCGCCCTTAGCTCTATTTGACAAGGGTTTTCCAAAATTCGTCCTTTATGTTTTAATAAATAAATCTGCAATGGTAAGTAAATAAAAAAATACATAGTGATTATTTTATTTACGTGAATTGTGTACATTGTTAAATAACGGATTTCCCGTGAGGAGTTGCCAGATCTCCCATCGGGCGCGTCCCCAGGTGGCGGATAGGGGAATATCATCCAAATTTGGGTGATACCGGGAAACCGGCGCGGACCAAAACTGGGGGGGGGGGCGTTCTGTAAGTCCTTTTCAGGATTCATGGACGTCCAAGGACTCGATGTCCTAGGAGGCAAGCCTGCAAGGCGGGCCTTCGCTGCTCCCAGTATCCCTCTCTAGTGAGAGGGGACAGGGGTGGAACAAGGGGGGGAATGTGCGAGATGTATGGAAGATGTGTGTTTTGGGGGGTAAGGGGAATCAGGTTGAGTGTTTGCGTGATGTATGAAAGGAAGTTCCCGAAAGGGGACAGTGTGACTCATGCGGTGTGTTTGCCAAGTGCACTCGGCTTTTGCTGACACCGGGTGATCTCGGTACTCTGCTGCAGGTGTCGTGGATCATGTCTCGCGGCCTGCAATAGAACTGAGGGTCTTGCCTTAACCAGCCGGACCGCGAGGAGTAAACCTCAATAAAAAATCCGGAGATTTCAGCGTTGTGGTGCGCGGCGCTGAATGCTCGAAAGAGCGGCTGGACCGACAAACCAGTCATAGCGGCCAACCCTGGGTACCTCCCGACCCCCAGGTGTATGTAGGGTTACCGGGCTACAAGGTCACTGGCCCGGCGGACTTTTTATTTACCTAATACACGTGGGAATCAAATGGAACATTTATTGAAAACTAATAACGATAACGGCAAGGAAATAGACAATGTTGTGCTTAGTGAATTGGCTGACGAAAGGTGCGTGGACCGGAGGAGGTCTGCGTCTGCTGGAGAGACGAGTCGGATGGCGGAAGAACAACCATCAAAATTTTTTAAGGACGCTCGAAAGCGCCCGAGAGGAGGCGATGACCAGAACCTCAGTGGATTGTCGAGTGACGATGAGCAACCGGCACAAAAGGTGTTAGCTGGGCAGTTGGGGCGCACTTCGTCCCCCGTACTGGTGAGGGACAAGCGGGGTCGGTTCCTTAAGAGAACGGATACTCAGGTAGGAAACCGAAGGAAAAAGGGTAANCTCCAGGTCGAACAAGAGGCAGCGGAAGCTGTGCGTAAAGCACGTGATCTGAAACAGGCCTCTGCAGACACGGGTGGACAATCTTTGGTGGACGACCTGCGGGAGCAAGTGCTCCAGCAGGTAACTGTTATCACACACGTGGCCTCCAAGTCCTCCCACCTTAAGGGCACCTTTGTTAAGGCCCTTAGGGATGCAGCCAGAACAATCAGCGACGCCGTGGAGGTACTCAGTAAAGCCACGGTCTCGGAAGAGACCAAAAAGCTGGCTGCAGACAATAAACGCCTTAAAGCAGAGGTGGCAGAGCTCCGCAGCGAGCTATCCGCTATACGTGCTGACCTCCGCCACAACCAAGGCCTGGACGAAATAGCAGTTCCATCCACCTCAAGCGCTTCTCAAGACCCAGAGCTCATGCGACGGTCGATAATTGAGGCCGTCGGAACCATGATCAATGCTCGGTTTGCGGGCTTGGAGGACAGGTTACTGCCTGAGAAGCGCCTTCGCCCCGCTCTGGCGGCAGACAGTCGCATAAATGTGTCGTACGCGGCCAAAGTGAATCCTCGGGCAACGGTAAGCGCCACCAAACCGGCGAGTGAATCAGTCTCGAAGTCCGGGTCTTTCCCTCCCTACGTACAGCAAGAGGTGCAAATACAGCAGGAAAGTAGAGAGAAACGGATACTCTGGCCAGCAATGATCAGAGAGCACCCACTAACGAGTGGACTGTGGTGACTCATCGTAGCAAACCTCGCACTAACTCTACAGTAGCAGGACAGGCCGAAAAACCGAAACAACGCCAAAGAATGCCGAAGCTGCGGCCCCCTCGCTCGTCCGCTGTAGTGATAAAGCTACAGCCGGATGCAGCGGAAAAAGGAGTCACCTATGCCGGCATCCTTAAAGAGGCAAAAAAAACCATGGATCTGGAAGCTCTTGGGATTCAGGCCATCCGGTTTAGAAAGGCCGCAACAGGAGCCCGAATTTTGGAGGTGCCGGGAGTCACAAGTGGCGATAAGGCTAACTTGTTAGCTGAAAAGCTTCGTCAGGTGGTCAGTCAAGAGATCGCCACAGTTTCCAGGCCAGAAAAATGCGCAGATTTACGCATCTCAGGCCTGGATGACTCCGTGGAAAAAGTTGAGGTTGCTGAAGCTATAGCACGGGCTGGCGAGTGCCAAGCAGCCTCCATCAAGGTCAGCGAAATTCGCCTGGGACCGATCTGGACTGGGCACGGTATTGGTTGGTTGCCCTGTTGGTGCTGCCGGAAAGATTGCAGAAACCGGCCGTCTCTTAATCGGCTGGTCCTCGGTGCGGGTCAAGCTGCTGCCGCGAAGACCTCTGCGGTGCTACCGGTGCCTGGAAACGGGACACGTTCGGGAACAGTGCACTGCGACGGTCGATCGCAGCAGCACGTGCTTTCGTTGCGGACAGCTGGGTCACATTTCTAGTCAGTGCTCCGCGGCCCCCTATTGTCTAGTGTGTGCCGCTTCGAATAAGCCCGCTGGCCACACAGTAGGAGGTAAGGCATGCATGGCGAACAAGCTTGAAAAGAGGAGGCGACGGGGAAGTGTTACTAGAGCACCAGTCCAGTCGCAAACATCCCACCAGCATGTTGACGATGCCAGGGAGGAGGGGACTCCAATGACTATTCAGTAGTTTATGGCCACCCTAAATTTCTTGCAGGCGAACCTCAATCACTGTGCCAGAGCCCAGGACCTTCTACTGCAAAGCATGGCACAGTGGATGATTCAGGTTGCCCTGGTGTCGGAGCCGTACTTCATCCCCCCTAGCGAAAACTGGGCTGGGGATCACTCCGGCACTGTGGCGATGGTTTGCAGTACTGCTGCGGGTTTCTCACGTGGCCGCTCTGTTGGGAGAAATTTTCATCGTTTCGGTGTACTTTTCTCCAAATAGGACGCTGGCCGAATTTGAGAGCTACCTTGACCGACTGGGATCAATGCTCCGGCAACTGAATCCCTACCCCGTGCTAGTCGCTGGGGATCTCAATGCAAAATCTGCGGCGTGGGGATCACCCATAACTGACGCGCGGGGTAGGGTGCTGGAG